GAAATAACCAGGTTATTTCATAATATGGGACTAATGAGGACTAGGATGCAGCAGGAAGATTCTGTTGTGAGAGACTCTGCCGTGAAAGGGTGAAACAAACCATGCAGCAATACCTAAAATGACRTGAAATGGTGCTGACCCTGCACAGGAAAGTACATAATCCTCAGTTAACCTTGGCTGACTGCTGCCTCCTGTTTTATAGCAACTGCACTTAACGACTATCTGAAGAGACAAGACAGTGTTCCTCAGTAAGCGCATGGTGTGCTTTTACATCATACTAGCTCTTGATGTCAGCACTTCCCACCATATGTGTACAGCCTGCAGTGTAACTACCTCAGAACTTTTCTTTAGGCTGTCCTGATGTGAGGAATATTTGGAACAAAGTAACACAGCAGAAAAATTAACTGCTTACATTTACTTCCTAAATGCAGTGCATAAAGATTGTCACAGTTGCAGACAGTAAAGTTCTTGACTGAGGAGACTGGTCTTGTAAATAAATAGTCATGTGAATAGGTTTGTTAGTCAGGTGTTGATAAAAAAAACAACTGCTCTTAAAGCTGCTCTTACAGGACTTTAAGTAGAGAAACAGTGTATGCATTTACTACATAACAGTATCTTGGAAAAATACATCTCTGTTTTAGTTAAAGGTTTATAAAAGCCAAAATGCAGCAGATCATTTCTGCAAAGCCCTTTGCTAGCAAAGCCTGAGCAGCTGAAGAGGACCTTGTGCAGCATTTAGCAAACACAAGATGTCACAAGTAGCCATTTCCTGGAGAAAAGGCAGCCGAGTACAGACGAGATTGAGGCAAGAGCTTAAAATGGGACATGACTTAGGACAAGAGCCAGAGTACACATTGTGCCTACGTATCCCTGAAGGACAGTTTACAAAGTAAGCCTCTTGCCTGGCCAGGGCAGCTTTTTATCTCTCTACTTCCTGCAGAGCTACTGCCCTATCTACAGAGATACCCACACACTTGTTCTCACAAGGTCGTAACAAGAACAGAAGGGCAGGAGTCTCCCAGCCACAAAGAACTGATCCATTTCGAGACGTCGTATTTGCACTTCACCTGGGAAACTCAGCCTAGTGTTAAAACGGATGACCCAGATGAAAATAAATAAAGACATTCACTCTCTGGGAAGAGGCCACATGAAAAGCACTGCGCTCAAATCCAACTAGCAAAGCAATGCATATTTTGTATTAAAATAAAAAGGTGGCACTTGCAGGCCTTTYGAAAGCTCCGAGTTACACCTCCACCTGAGGAAGGAATACAGACCAAGCRCATGGAAGTAGTAAGGTATGAGCAAAACATCAAAATGAAACGCTGCACTTGCACCTAAAGAAAAAATAATAAACCCATTTAAACCTCTTCAAATCGGAAAAACAAAAAGATTAAATCCACAATACAAGCAGTGTCACTGACTGAAGCAGACACTGAATCAAAATTGCTGATGAAGTGCATGGGCAGACACAGAGCTGAGGCAGTGCTCTTACATATCTAAAATCAACAGTCCTGAAAAAGGAAATATATGATTTTTTTGGCATGATATTATTTGGCAGAATATTGTCAGATATTCTGCCAAAGCCAGGACACACCAATGTCAACTACATATTTTGTCAAGAACTTTCATCGTAAGCAATGATTCCCGTAACTCCTAACGGGTGTTGCTTTCACCTCATCTTTCCACCTGTTTCATCTTACAAACTCCTTTCACTAGCTTGAAACTTCTCTGCAGCAGCAAAATGACTGCAAGCTGATTGGCATTTGCTGCTTCCCTCGCACAGAAGGACACAAACATAACTCATGAATCCAAAGTATACATAGGGTGATTGAAAGCCTCTTAAAATTGTTCTCAAATTGCATTTCTGATGTTCTGAGAATAGACATAAGTTACCAGCTACAGACTTAACCATCATTTGCTTTAAGACCCATAATTCTGTAATCACGTTACTCTCTGGGAAACCCAACCTATTCTAGCTCCTTTTGTTACCTTTAGGCAATCCTCTAGCTCTGTAATTAACTGCAGTTTTGCAGCCAGTCTTCCAGGCTCTGAACTAAAGCACTTCATCAGCTACTTCTAGGCACCAGTGTTAAAATCTTTTAAATCAAATCAGGGCTGGTTTGCAACTTGAATTTGTGCCAAAAACCATTTTCACTATAAAGTAATCAAGCCTCCAACTACCTGTAAATATTTTTAAAAGCACTCCTTTATGATGTGAGGGCATGGATAACTTCTCCACTTCATCTTCAGAAGTCATACTGTTAAAATACTTCAAAGTAACACCAGTTACTAGTGTTACTAGTAATTACTAGCTGTATACTGCTAAAAGAGCACCCTGACAAATGCTGCAATTAACATACACATATAATAAAAGTCCCCTACAGACAGAGCTAACAGTATCTTTTTGTAAAATCATGCATCATTTTCCAGTAAAAAAATTATTTGTCTTTGGTTTTAAATTCACCAACTTTCAGCCCACTTAGACCACAGTCCTTGCCACACGAACCTCTCCAGATACATTTTTTTGTTGTTGTTGTTACACCATCATTTCCAGAAAAACATAATATTGTATGGATGTACAAATTCATTATAAATTGGCTTTTTTTTTAAGTAACATCATAATTTGGAGTCAAGGTCTGAAAATCAGCCAGTTGGTCTTTATCAGGAAAATGCTCATCTGAGTCTTGATTTGCCTAAGTTACAGGCAGAATACCTGAGCGCACAGGTAACTAGTTCTGACTTTAGACTTTACAACATTTTACAATTCCATTTGGGCAGAACCCTGACCAAGAAAACATCAAAACCCCCAAGTAAGAGGGACTGCCAGAAAGGACAGGAGGAGGAAAAGGCTGATTTGGCAGGAAGACGGGGTAGAAAATGGGCTAAGACAGAGTACGGCTCAATTTCCACATTCTCCCCACTTCATGCTGCCTGCAGCAAGGAACGGCAGAGAGCACCTGGGGCTGGGAACACTCCTCCTTAGCCTGACCAAGGGCTCGAGGCATCGATCAAACTGGTGCCGTTTTGGAGAGTCCTGGAAACTTGGCCTGTACCAGTCATCCTGGCAACCTCAGGCTAGTGATGGGCAGTATTAGCTTTTTAAACATCCTGGTTCAAGCTGAAATACATAGAAGTGCCAAGTCTGTGCAAGCAGAGTGCAGCTGAGATTACCAGCTATTTATATCAGGCACGGCACTTGGTCAAAGAAGACAGAAGATGTTCAGCAATGGAGGCATTAGGAGAACAGAAGAACACGCAGGCTTGTTGCATTTGTTTTTCCTGCCCTGCTTTCAGCTGGTCAACAAATAGGAGATGTGCGAAAGCAAGATAAATATTTCCTTTGTTCACAATATATTTTGTTTTGAAAAACACCTACAGCTTTGGAGTCAACTGAGGTGACTTTGTAAGAGGGCAGAACCGGCTGTGCTGCCCTAAGCCACGGACGGGCTCAGGAGCCATTTCTGCCGCAACCGAGAGCCAGCGGCCCCGCTCCTGCCCGCGGCGGCCCCCCACATGAAAGAGCAGCTTCTTGCTCACCTTCCGCTTCAGACTCCAAGGTGTTGCGTCCATTCTTGTCATGGCTTGTTCAGCTCAATCAGCCAAAGTTTTGAAGATGCAATTCAGTCACAGTTTTTAATAAATGACTCCTTGAGCCCTTTTCCAAACTAACTAACTAAATAGCAAAAGTTAATCCACTAGCCTCAATGGCCTCTCACTCCTCCTCTGTTTCTGGGCCTCACCTGTGTTTTAGAGATCTGGGACCTTGAATTACTCCACCTATGGCATCAGGGACAACACGTGAAGCTCCCACAAAAAATGGAAAGGGGGTACACTGACATTTGTGCTGTGCAACACAGAGGCTGAGAATTTTCAAATTTTAACAACAAAAAATGCTCAAATACTAGCACAACAAATAAATCTGGGTTTTGTTTTGTTCAGAAGGGTGACTCTAACCTATGGTACACAGAATAAACCGAACTATGATCTTGCCAGGCATAAAAGCAGTACTGAAATAGACCTCAAAATGAGGGTACAGACCTAGGGACAGGAACCCCTCCTGGGATCCACAGCTGAGACAGGTACCTAGGAATTTCATCTCCCTTGACTCCTGGCCCACCTTGCACTCAAAAAGTAAAAGCAACATGAGCACACAAGAGAAATCACCCACAGGGATTAAAACTGAATTGCTTACAAGCCATAATCAATCTTCACCTCCTACATTTTGCATCTTCATTAGTTATACTTGAAAAAACATAGCAAAAAAAAAAATACATATTCTAAAATTATCAATCTTTCTCGGATACTACCATTTCATTGTTTTAAACAGTTATAGTCTATTGTTTTTCAACATGGTTTCATTCAAGTGAAATCATCTTACCTGGTAGAATTATGAGAATTTTTTTCCTTCACAATTTACCTTTGTTCTGGAGAGGAGAATGAAGAATTTTCTTATTCAAAGTGTCTGCTGACGAGCTGGAATAAAAGGTTTTTGAAGAAATGGTCCTGTTTAAAAACATTTGCATAACAGCACTGAAAAATTCTTCCAAACATGTTCTCAAAAACATGAGATGCAAGTAAAGATGAAGACTTCGGCAGTGCATTACACATGTTTGCTCGGATAAGGTACCTGTCCCCCACYTGAAAGCAGGCTCTGGCACACAGCAACACTGAGGCTGGGTTATGAATGCATCATCTCATCTCCTTTTGCAAAAAAAATGGTGAGCACAAGGGGAAAAAGAGCACAAGTGAAAGGGACTCAGTTAGAAATTATTCCTGTAAGTCATGAAGGAATGAGATATTCCAAAGCATTCAGTCAAGACACACTTAGCAAACCACTTAAAAATCAGGTTKGTACTTTCAGATGCATCTTACAACGTGAATATTCATTTCAACATCATCTGTTCAGATCAATGCACAGAATTTATTACTGCCATTTAAAGGATAACACTATTGACAGCTTAACCTTTATTAAACTGTTGATACAATATAAATCTGTTTGTATGAAGTCAGACGAAGACATTAAAACAAATTATATAAATATTAATAATTACTGATAAATTATTTAGGAGAACACGCTCTTCATAGCATTAGTCTTCTCTTGATAATCAGAGACCAGACAAACAGGTTTTCACCCTCACAGCATTTTAGTGTATTGGCATTTAAATCTTGATTTAAACTAGTTCCACTTTCCAGACTTYATTCAAAGCTGTAAACAACTAAGTCAGAGTTAACCAGGTACGTGAAGAACAAGACTACAAGGTTTGTGATTATTTATGTTCGCATGATGTGACAAGGTACAACTGAGCATGAAATTTTAGATCYTTAACATACTTAAACATCTATTCCACATGAAATGAAGAGAACACAAAGCTGAGAACCTGCAAAACATCTCTGCACGGTGAGCACCACTGCTACTGGTTGCTTTTATAGTCCACATACCCAGAGCAAGTAAACCACTGAAGATACCTCCAAGCTGTCTGTCTGCTTACAGCAGCAGTCAGGCTGCTCTCATACTTCTCACATAGGGAAAAAAGAAAATAATAATAATAAAAAAAAGGTGCACCAGGCCCCACAGCACATCTGTGAGGTAGGAAATACCAAAATAACCCCTTACACGGAGTGGATGCAGGCTGTGGCTTGCAGAAAGGCAGAGGAAGCATGAGGACTGCCAGGGCGACAACTCCGCAGACTCAGCCAGCYCATTTAATGTTTTATGAAATAATGTCTTAATGTTTGTGATACAGCGTGCCGTTTTACTCCTGTACAGTGTATGGCTTTGAGACGTCTAATGACAACCATCACTGTGAAGTGTATTTAAAAAGTTGAGTTGTTCTTTAGACATTAYATTCCAGATCACAAGTTCTAAATATGGAACAGACATTATTTTTTATTAAAAAAAAAGGAAATTTGCAATTCTTCAGTTGTTTCTGTTCACTCGCTTATATATAAAACCGTTGCTGACTTCACAGTCAAAAATGCATCATATTTCTGTACCTTCAGCATCCAAAATACTTTAAAAAAATAAAAGTTTTTTTCTATGTACATCCACAGTCAGTGGGATACAAATTTTTCTTCCCCATCTCAAATCCAGTACAGGAGAGCTTTGCAACTCCTACATCTCACATTGTATCTAGCTCAGCTAGACTATTTGTGAAAAAAATAAAAATGTATTGCTATGGCTAAGAGATTTCCAAGGCACTCATAGACCCAAAGTAAGAACACAGGGGAGATTTGAAATATTGAGTTCCAAAAATAAAWATAAACAAACTATTGGAGGGCAGAGAAAGAACTGGTTTCAATGGGATTTTCCTMTTGGACTAGAATTTGTAGGGAGGTGTTTTCTTTTGGACAAGCCAGTGATATACAATACAAATCATTTTAAAACAACACCAAGAACAGTAATTTAAGATTACAGATCCGGCTCTATTCTTTCTTCTGGGAATGGATTGAATAAAGGAAAAGGTTTGCCCACAACACACACACACACACGCACGCATCCCGAGTTATTCGGGATCATATCCCAAAATGGGTCCCAGCCATTTCTCCACCTCTGACACAGGCAATTGCTTTCTCAGTGCATAGTCTTCAACCTGCAAAGGGAGCAAAAAACATATTTTGGAACCTCCAGCTTTTACTGTTCCCCAAAAATTTTCGGACATCTGGTCTTAAGGTATTTTTGAATATTTTAACAGTATTGTAACACACAGTGCAACTTACCTGATCTTTACATATCTTGCCAACAGCAAAATATTTCGATTTGGGATTGGAAAAGTAGAGACCAGAAACTGCAGAGGCAGGTGTCATTGCTAGTGATTCAGTTAAGCCAATTCCTGGAAAAGAGAATGAACAACATTTTTGTTCTTGGAATTGATAACAAGTATAAATTCAGACCCTCTTGTTGGGCAGACTGGAAATCTTGAGACAGCTCCCAGAAGACTGAAAACCAAGAAGCTTTCAGCTGCACTCAAAAAATTAAACTGTTTTCCGCTTGTTATCCATTGCAAAAAAAAAGGTGATCGCTTTACACATATTGCAGACTTTCATTATGGGGTTACTGTAGAGTAACTTAGAATTTGAGGAGAAAAACTTGAACACTCTCGCAACTGAAAAGGTTATCTAGAGCTCTGAAACACAGGAAGGTATTCCAGGACTGCGGTATTAGCAGTGAAGTAGCTGTTATTTAAGATATCAGAAGAAAAACAATTTTTTTTTTTTTTAAGAGATGCCATCTCAAAGGTTTCTGTGGTTCAGGAGAGACACTCATGAATGGCTTTTATTCTGCTCATATCTGGAATGCCTTCTTGCAGCCATAAGGATGCTAGATTTTTCCTTTGTGTGCAGCAGAACCCTGTTTGCTGGCAATCTGCTCATTAGGGACATATCTCCTTCACCAACAGCACTGGCAGTATTTTGCAAACTTTTCCTTAACTAAGGCAAAATAAAAATGGCAACGAAAGGGGAAAAACAAGCAATTCCCACAACCGCTTCAGTCGGATTTCTCACACAGCTCTGCACTACCCATGTCACTGTTTTGTTAGCATTTCAATCTTTAATTTACTTTCAAAAATAAAGACAAGTCAAGAGATCCTCGGAAAGGCGCGGRCGTACCTGTGCTTTCCTCAACGTTTGCCAGCTTCCACATGGTGAGTTTTTCCGTGTGGTCTGGCTGGCTTGGGTAGCCGGGGGCCGGGCGAATTCCCTCGTACCTGCCTCGGCGCAGGTCGCAGAGCTGGAGCTGCTCGCCGCTGCAGTAGGCCCAGAGCTCCCTGCGGACCCTCTCGTGCAGCTCCTCGGCCAGCGCCTTGGAGCGGGAGGAAGGAGCTGTTACGTTGTGGAGGCTGATGCCACAGCTGCGTGACTCATATGGACAAAGACTGGGACCTTCTCCCTGCCCCTCTCTCACTGTTGAAGGGGGATCTCACTACAGGCGAGACACTGGGTCAAATCTAAATTCACGTATGACTTTACCTATTCATATGTTTTCGATTTTTCTCTTTTTAGTAGACTTAGTCTTTTGGTTGTCCTGCTTTAAAATCATATTTTCTTGAAGACGTAAAGATGGGGGCAGTAACAGGAGAAGCTCGAGTACATTAGCATGTGGTGGCCATATATCACTATAGCCCTGAGGACATCAGGTGCTGAGTACTCTGGACAMCTCCTCCAGCTCCAGCTATGGAAGGCCAAACCATTCTTGCATCCATGCTAGTATCCAACTGTAAATAAGCACCACTTTTCATTTTAGCAGAGGAGTTTTCTTCTAGGTGCAAGCAGGTTATAGCTTTTCCTATCTACTCCTACAGTTTAGGTCAGAATTCAGGCCAAATTCCCACTTAGGTAAATATGTTCAGATGGCATCTGTTGTGGCTCAAGATACACAGCTGAAACTAACCCTGTTCACTCTGCACTGAAGTTGCTCTAGTTATTAACATGACTACTTAGGGGTAAGTGTGGGGCTGTCAGCTGGGCCAGGAAGAGGGTGCACAAATGCTTGGACAGGGACTTCATAAATCACATCAGCTGAGCTTTGCCTCTGCCTAAGATATGTTAAGTCAAAAACTTTCAGCCTAGATACATCTGCACAGCTACCATTAAAGCAAGAAGGTGGCCTGTCTACAATTCAAAATATACCCAGTGGGTCACACCCGGGACAAACATTCTCAAAAAAAAAAAAAAAATCTGTAAAGCTTGTTTTATTTAAGGTTGTCTTGTTTTAAAATCTATTAAATTCTATCAAAACCGCCACCAAGAACCAGGAGGCATTTTTGCAACTGAAAGATTTGGACAGCAGACTCCCCTGAGGCTCAGAAGGGAGCTCTCCTCTCAAAATGAGCTCAGTGGAAGCAGCTCATTTTCAGATTTAACAAAAAGCACAGCGCAAAGGCAACAATCTGGAACCTGAAACGGCAATTTGTCAAAAACAGCCTGAGAAAATGTGCATAGAGACCCACGACAGAGCCCCGTACCTCTGCTAGGCGGTCTCCAAGGGCCTTTACCATTATGATGCTGTACTCATCATCCTGCTCCCTATATTCACTGCACAGCTCGTCCACTCCAAAGCAGGCCACAGCAAACAGGCCCAAGTAATCACAGATGCCAGAACCCAGCGGGGCTATGAAGTCCGAGAGGCAGAAATAGGGATCTGTGCAGGCAGGGTCCTTTTCAGCCTAAAATAAAAATAATGTAACAACTGAGAACCTTTTAACAAACAGTATAATTAATCACTATTGACCTAAATAACAGAGTTTTAAGAGAGGAACCTGACACGTTTCTAATGAATATCTACCCTAGTCTCTGCGGKGTGACACCTTGGCTGTGCTTGCAGGAGAGGAAATCACCTCTCCTGTGAGGCCGCCTGGATCACTCATGAGCAAAATGTCAAAGGAAAGGTTTGCTGCGCTGCACGTACATGGAGACACGTTCTGCCTCTGTTCACAGCAAGCGAGCTTCAGCAGCTTGCTGTGCACACACAACACTGCGAGATGAGGAACACGCTTTTGCCGGCCACTAGGGGAAAAGAATTTTCCAATTCTAGCACTCACCAATTCCACATTTCCTATCTAAAGGGGGGGCGGTTCACAGCCTGCATCCCAGTTGGACAAACTGCAGAATTCAACAGCTCTTCAGCACTTCAGAACATCTCTGGGAGTTTTCTAACACTCATAGCTACAAGACACACACTCGGTAATCGAGACAAAACGGTGCCCCAAACTATATTTACAGTAACGATGCACTAGCACAAAACACACCCACCACCACCACAGAAAAGGTGAGACCCAAGCACGGTGGCAGTCAGGCAAAAAGCAGCTGATCCACTCACAGGGCTCTTGCCMAAAACAGAAAATAGGGAAAAAGACAAAACTGAGTGAACGCTGGCAAAAGCATCTAATACAATGTTTGACAGTTGAGCATCAAAGCAGCACATTCACTACAGGAACAGGACTGATRCTTAAGAATAGCAAAGCTTTTGAAATCCACCCAGTTTATAAGGAGCTAAAAGCTTTTCGCATGGATTTCACTCAACTCAAAGACTCTCAACCAAATTTTCTTACTCTACAACGACATTTTGGCATTAAACACTTTCTATCCAGTTCCCAATTGCTACTAAAAACAACAAGAAGGAAGGGCAAAGTGGAGGAAAACAATCAACTGCTCGCCTTATTCCATAACCAAAAAGGCTGTAGAACATACCATTAAAGTGAAGAAACATAAAAGCAGATGATCTCATATTAATTTTGAGGTTTCCTTTTAATGACCACAGTTCCAAAATACTAAATGCATCTACAAATATTAGATTTACATCAACTGATTACTAGTGCCAATGCCATGGAGAGAACTCTGTGTACTGAAAGAAATGTCTTATGTAGGTAGAAAGAGACAACTATTTTCTTCTGCTTTGCTCTGGTGAAGCCTCAGTTGAACTACTGTGTRCACAGGCCTGAGAGAGATGCAGATCTGAGTCCAGAGGAATGGTACCCAMAAAAGCATTAAGAGTTTCATGACCTTCACCTTTGAGAAAATCTGAAGGAATGGGGAACACATAACATGAAAAGACTATGGAGAAAAGAAAATAACAGTACTCCAGTATGTAAAAAATACTAAAAAGGAATGTCAAAATAGATATTGTCTGTGAGRGAGCCTGGGAAAAGGCCAAGAGAAGAAACTAGTAAAAATGATTTAGATGAGATAYCAAAACTTCTAACTAGGTTGTAAAACCTCAGAACAAGCTACCAGGAGGAGTTTTAAGACAGCTCTCCCTGGATGTTTGTGAGAACAGTTTACATAAACATCTGCCATGGGTTGTCAAGGGACACTCAAGCTGCATCCATGCAAGGAACTGGAACAGATAATCCTGAAGCCACGTATTTCTTATCAGTCCTGCGATACTGGCACAGGGTTGTGCGCACACAACACTGCACCACAAAAACTGAAGTATTTTAAATTTGTTTCCACTACGTTTCATGAATTGGAATATATAAACTATGAAGAAGAAGGAGAATTTGGGGGGAAGAAGGAAAGGGGTAGCATGTTGCAAGCATTGCTCAACCTATCGAAGTACATGCCAACCTAAGGCAGTACAATTGAAATGTCAATACTTACAATAGAGATTCTCTCAATTGCAACTACCAACCAACAAAATAACTATAAACTGCCACTTCTTCTATTTACCTAAAATTACAGCTAACAGGAACTCTTACCTTCACTGAGCTTTATTTTCCATGCATTATAAGTATCTTTTTAAGCTTTAACACATTCCAGAAGGATTCTCATTTAAGGCAGAATCCAAGGATATTATTAGAGAATTTAGGTTCATTAGGTTCTAATTTAGCACACAWGACCTATGTAATGGATTTACAGAGCAGAGTGCTTTAGGACAGCTCAAATATTAAAAACGAAGATAGAAAACAGGTCATATTTAAGGATGTCAACTCTATCAAGTTTTCTATTAGGCCTGGGTCACTGCTAACACGAWCCTGTTATTACTAAAAGAGAAAGAAATGGGAAAAGATAATGAAGTCAGATAACAGCAAGCATTTTCTGCATAGATTATAACGGGACCTTTTTGTTCCATTTTATTTTATTTTATTTAAACTTTAACAAATATTCTTTCATTATACCTGTTGCCTCAGGCCATAAAATTTTGCTATTGGTTCCACAGATCCCACTGCATCTTCTACAGCATACAAATGGATATCATCCTGAACACTCTGAGCTGGCCAGAACCCAATCACACCTCTGGCTTGTAATTTCTTTTGATTAATCAATGTTTTCAGTAGATTTTGAGCATCATTATAAACTCTCTTTGCTTCTTCACCTATCAGAAAAAGAAAAACAAAAAAATTAGAAAAGGCCTATTTTCACAGCCATTTCAAAGAGCTAGATTCATATAAAAGATAGCTTCATTTTCCACATAACTCAGATCACTAAAATAATCCAGCGGCTACAGCAAAGAGAAGACCTAACTGTGACTACATCTATATGGCTATGAGAACAGATAGTCTGAAATAAATGTTTCAGCAGAGTCTGGGAGAGGCAGAAGATGCAGAACAAGACGAACAATAAGGAAAAATGTCCATGCGCTTCCCCTTCCATAGCACAGCAAATCCCAACGTTAACTTGGGCGCTACGCTTCCAGTTTGATCAGGTATCCCAGGGCGTACTGAGTAGTTTCAAAAGGAGACAGAGCCCTCTTGTCCCCCTGCTCACAACAGGGGCACAGACCTTCTCAGTGTCCTGTGGCCATTTTCTGTCACTAAAACGGATTCCTCTGTTTTGAGATCCAGGCTAGGTTGAAACACAATAATTAAACATTTTTCCATTGTTTTTCAGTCTCACATCCCAACAGCTCCTTCAGTCAGTTTACATAGAAGATAAAGATCTTTGTGAAACTTAATTAACCCATGTATTTTCTACTATTCCTATATATTTCAAAACATTCTGAATTCTTAATGCACTTATGATTATTTACATAAGGTAAAACCAGTTTCACTACTTACCTACAGTTTTATCATTAAAGATTTGGGGGAAACCTCGGTTGGGATACTTTCCCCTAAGTTGCCAAACATCAAAGAAAGGCTTCCAGTCAATGTACTCTGTCAATCTCTTCAGGTCATAATCTTCAAAGACTTTTGTGCCAATGAATTTTGGCTTAACTGTAGGAATCAGAAGTACAATCTGACATGAAGGAAATAATTCCATATTATTCTTACACACGCAGTATAACCAATGCTTACCACTTCCACCTCTTCCAAAGCAGTGCCTTAGAACCTCACTGCCCTATTCTTTCCGTGTGATAACACACTCTAAAATTATAATGCAATACATTGACTGCTAAGCATAAAAATAATCAAAATATGAAAATTAAGGTCTTTTACTCATCCATATTGATAAATCAGTTGTTAGATTTCTSAACTTACTTCACTGGCCAAAATATTTAACAGTACAACTTTTATCAGGAAATATATTTCCTGATAGATCTCTTTCAATTAAAAACAAAATAAAAATGTATAAGCTTACCTGGTTTATGGCCTGCAAGCCAGTCGTGGTGGAAACCTTTTCTCCTGGCTTGCTCCAGAGACAAGTATCTTCTTTCCTGTAGGGACAAAAAGGATACAGTTACACAGCCTCTTATCTTYTGGATAAATGGTAGCCACAGAGGCTGTTGTACAGTTTTACTCAAAGCAATCTTTGAGAAACACCCCAGTTCCCCCAACTCCCAGTTCACACAGGTAAGGTGACATGGCTGCAAACTATCTATACCACACCATTATCTTTCCCTGCATACATTCAATGGAACTTGCCTGTAAGATCTCTAGTTCCTCCGAACTGCATCACAAGCTCTGCTAATGCTTTGGGTCCTCTGCCCAAAGACAGTCTTAAGCTCAGAAGTACAAAGTGTTCACAACAAGAGGTCTCTTGATCTAACTTTCTTTATCTAGAGTCCACGTAAGGGCTAGATGACTTCCAGCTGCCTCTGGGTTTCATTACAGAGGAGGTCTAAAAAGAGTAATTTGTTATTTGGTTCTTACTGTTGGTCTGCACAACAGCTTATCTCTCTATTTCATTGCTTCCTCTTAATTCACCTGAAATTCAAACCTCAGTTACTTCAAAATTGCTTAGGACCCTAACCTAGGCAATGTGAACACATCATGAGAACAGGGTGGTATAAAATATCCAATAGAGGATGGCTCAGCTACCATATACTACTGCCATTATWGCTCCCCGTGCACATCCCTGCTTCCAGCTACTGTTCTAGGAGAGAACAGGTCCCTGGTAGGTTGGCATGACTACCAGCCCCATGATCATGTCCTGAATACCACTGGTTGCCCACCAAAGACAATCAAGACTTTCCCAAGATCATTATAATGGTCATGTAGAATTTTCCTTATAGGTTAGAAAGTTTTGATTTCATATTCACAAGCTTTCCTTCAATTCTACTGTTCATTTTCAATCAGCACAAACAGACCTGAAAGTCATTAACAGAAACTGAAATTGAGAGTTAATAATGATGTAGCAACCACTCCAGACAAGAGGCTAAATCAAACTCATACCTTGAGAGACTCATAGTGTTCTTGCCTAATCTCTTCATATTCCTCTAATATTTCTTCAAAGAAGTCATCCTTTAAATTTGCATCTAAAAGCTGGGAGCACTGAAAAAAGCAAAAAGAAAGCCTTCGATAGATACCACAACATGGAATAGTAAGGACAGAGCATGAACTTCAGATTAAACCATCAGTCTTTCAAAGTCTAGTTTTCATGAAACCTATCTAGTTCAACTTGACAATGCTAAACTCAGTCTCAACACTAATCTGCAAGCAAGACTTAAAGCACGTTCAAGATGACAATCATTACTGTAAGTAATGCCCTATTAAACAGGTAGTATTAAGAGAGACCAATCTGGCTTTGGGAAGAGCTGAGAGGAAGATATCTCAGGACTTCAGAGCTTGAATAGTCTCAGAAACACTACCACAGCTTGGCTGAGTCCTTTCCAGTAGAAATTTGCAAGCTAAGACTGYACATCTAGTCAGCCATTTCCCAGCATTAACAGTTTATTGACATATCTCTAACTTAAGAAATAGAAAGATTAGAGAATAAACAGCAGGAAGTGTCAAACTACATCACTGTTCACTATGAAATGTCTGAAATCTACAAGAAAGGCCTCAAAATGAATCTGTCACTGCAGAAATGGACATTTAAGTAAAGATTCTCCATGATAACAGTTAAAATAAGGCTGATGAAATAATTAAGCAACAGCAAAACAAACAAACTCAAGCAACAGSAGTTTGGAAACCATGGTCTCTGCAGTACATCTTCAATTTTTAGCTGTAATATTAAGTCTCAGAGGAAAGGATGAGGGGCACGACAGAGAAGGAAAAAGAAAACAACCAACCAACCAACCATCCACACACATATTTTTGCATGGATGAGAAACTGTAATTTAGAACTTACAACCACAACACTCTTGGATGCATCCAGGACATGAATGACAGGTGCGCTATACCGCGGGGCAATTTTAACAGCTGTGTGTGTTCTTAAATGAAAGAGAAAGATTATTTTCGTAACTGAAATTTAAAAAAAAAGACAAAGTCTCAAAATCTTTCCCTGAACAGTCAGATAAATCCTGATAATCCTGATCAAAACGTTTAAAAGTAAGGTGCCAACTTACCCTCCCTCACTGTCTTATCAGTTGACTGACAGTCAGCAAAAAGCTTACTTTGAATTTAAAAAAATTTCAGTGAGAATGTCAGAGACAGAACCTACCCTGTCTTGCTGTTGATTACATTAATCTCCAATAAGTCTACAAAACTATGTGACACTGGTTATGAGGGTACAAGGTCCAATGCACAAAAAAATATGAAGACACCCTCCTAAGCCATCCACTTAGAATAAAGATACTTTTGCAGGCAAAAATTCCATGTTTGTTCTCAAAGTATTAAAGCTAGAGGAAAAGAGACTCCCATGAAAAAGGAGAAAAAGGAAACAGTTAGCCTTAAATTATTGCTGCAGAAGCCGCAGAGGCAGACAATAACCCTACTGTTCACCATCTGTAAAGTTATGGTAACTTCAAATGCTAGCTTTAATGTCTTGCTAAGGTCAAACCTACAGAATTCATAAACCTACTGGTTCTGATCAGAACATGCACAGCTCTGGTAAAGAAACAAGCACCGCTCATAGCTTTTAGAAATTACTTCTGCAATCTCCTGATCTGTCACCTACTCAAAGATACTGGATCAAAACCAGTKGGCAAAGTGTAACCCAAGGCCTCTACACATGCCTAAAACATGTTTGCGGTAAGACTAATGCTAGGTGTCAGGCAGCTGTCAACACTGGTCTTCAGGACATCCATCCAGCTCTATTATTTCATTTGAATGTATTTGAGAGAGTTGAATCTCAACAGAAGAGTTCACTCTGCCAAGTGCAAAAATATAACTAACTTCAAGGCCTGCAAGGAGAACACATGCTCTGCCAGCCTGCTTGAGCAGCACAGGGCGCTCAGCAAGGTCAAGGGCTGGATTACACTCTAGCTTTCCTCAAGGGAGTTAATTGCCCAGGATCAACAGCACCATTCCCAGGCTAAAGAACATGCCTATTGACTGCTGATTCAGAACCAGGCTGTTGGATCCCTTGCCCTCTATTTTTAGGTGTGTGTCCATGACAGCCAGCACAAATGTCACCTGCACAAAGGAAGTGTTTGAGGTGTCCATTATTAGCTGTGTCCCAATTACAATCTTCTCTCCATAATCCAGTACCTAATATAAGAAATAGCTTCATCAGTCTTACCTAAATGCATGACTAACTGTTTGGGGGGAAAAAGAGGGACAGTGGTAAAGAAATGGCTACAAAGCTCCCCCCTCCCCAGCTACCATGATTTTCATACACATTTTTCAGCCTTCCCAACCCAGATATCTTACTTAGAAGTAGTTGCTCCTCCAATCAGCAATGGAATCTTTATTGCTAATCTCTCCATTTCCTTGGCAACAAAGATCATTTCATCCAAAGAAGGGGTGATGAGACCAGAAAGGCCAATTATATCTATTTCAAATGTATAAACACAGAGAGAAAACATTTAGCAAATATACTCATGAAAGACAGAAGTATTACAGAAAATGCTTCATTTCTACCTTCACACATAGTGAGACACAAGCATGGTAACTGCTAATCAGGAAGCTAACCTGACCTAATTAAAAAAATCAAAGCTTTCCAATAATGAAGTACACAGTACTACTTCTGATTACAAAGTRTCACACCTCAGTGAGGTTCGTTGCTAGCTGGTGTGCCAAGAATTTCATCGAGATATGAAACAAGCCAAAATAGTTACAGGCTATGCTCTCAGAAATGGTCAGCAAACACTTTMAGACTTCACCACCTACACTCCACACAATTAACTTCCTTCAACATTCAACAGACAGTTTGAAAGCAACTGTAGCTTGGGTCAGAAAGTTTATTATTTCTTAGAAGAATTCATCCTGGTTTTCACACTCACTGGTTTGGAAGGCTGAATGTCAAGTTATTTTATGGATTTAAGTCTCAGTACAAAGCTACTTAACCTTTCCAAGCCTCCCTTCATTCATCTGTGAAACAAACAGCCAAAACATCTCTCTCAGACTTAGCCTTGTAATGAATGTTTTCAGTTTTCCTTGGATAAGTTTCACAGAAGTGCCAATTACTGTTGATACCATACAAGTTCTGATTTATTCCACAGAAGGGGTGAGGTTGGAAGGGACCTCCAGAGATCATCTAGCCCAGGCTCCCTGCTCTAGCAGGGACACGTGGGCATGTGGCACAGGGTGGTATCAAGGTGGGTTTGGAAGTTCTCCAGAGAAGGAGACTCCACAGCCTCCCTGGGCCACCTGTTCCAGAGCTCTGTCACCCTCCCAGTGAAGAACAACTTCTTCACACAGAGATGGAACTTACTGGGTTTCAACTTGCACCCATTATCCCTTCTCCTGTTACTGGCCACCACTGAGAAGAGTTTGGCCTCATCTTCCCCCTACATTCTCCCCTCTCTGGCATTTGTACATGTCGATCAGATCCCCTATCAATCTCCTCCAGGCTAAACAGGCCCAGCTTGCTTAGACTTTCCTCGTAAGACAGATGTTTCTATCCCTTAATCAACTTCATTGCTCTACAACATTTGAAGGTATCTGACCAATTAACCAAATGTACTGGAATGCAGTGAGTAGAAAAAATTAATAAATAAAGCAATTCAGGAATACTAATGAAATCTGTCTCTACCTGCTTTGTTTTCAACAGCAGCTTTCAATATCTTATCACATGGAGTCATGACTCCTAAATCAATAACTCTGTAAAAAGAAGTGAGATGACATAGTATTTTTAAAAAAGTATTTAAATATTTTTGCTAAAGGGCAAACATTATACTTACTGTAAGTGACTGACCTAATACAGAAGCTAGGAAAAACAAAATAAATCTTGATTTTAGGAAATAATTTCTAGGTCTAGAAAAAATTTCAGCATACTAGAATTTTAGATGATATGGTACCAGTGAAAAATATTGAAAATAAAAAACTTAGTTTTTTTTTCATGTTATTTCTAACGTTAGTTCAGCAGCACTGACAGGTTATGGAATGTCAGGAATATAAAGTGATTTCCATTAATTCTTTTAAATTATATAATATAATACCTTAAAAGCCGCCCACATTTTGTTAAATGAGACACTACACTTTCCTTGCTCATCACTACCAGGGTTTCTGTTTGAGACAACCAGCCCAGCTTGCTGGCTTCACTGAGCCTCACTCCTATTCATGGTCACAGTGAACTGAAACCATGGTGCTTTTCAAGTGGTTCCTCCTAAACAAAGCTCAAAAGAAGCCTGGATAATCAGCAGAAGTTAAAACAACATTSAAATGGAGTATATTACAACTTAGGCACACCACTCTTATTGACTTCAATACTTTTGTTTTAATGAAGAGATGCCTTTTGCTCTTCATTAAAATAAGTTGCAGCCACACAGTCAAAACCAACACAAGCAAAACAAAAGGATGGTTGATGAGACAAGATGCAACTCCAAAGCAGATTCAGCTCCAAGCAACATTTTCAGACTCCAATGAAGGGCTTTTGATAGAAATGTAACCACTCCATCACTGCTGTCAATGCTGTATCATGCATACAGACCTGGGAAGGGCTGACTTTTCTTAATGTCTTTTGGAGACTCAAGATTAAAATCTCTAAAATCTCATCCTTTATTAAAAAAAAAAAAAAAAAAACCAACAAAGACACCCCAATAAGTTTGTACAGTTTTATTTAACAAGCATCCTGAAAAACCACACCAAAATTCACTAGAATTTTACAACACCTCCTTTCTTCCAACACACAACATGAGGTGCAGGCAGTCTTGCCCGTTCCAACTGTCTTGGTTTCTTAAGTACAAAAACTGATGATCTCATCAGTTTTTCAGTTATGTTTCCATTAATGTTAAACTTTATTCATCCAGGATACCAACTTACTCGGAAAAAGTTGTTCAAGAAAGCCATATTCCTTCTTGCCTCCCAGCTAGTAATGGCTGGTGTGACTTATGGCCCCAGTCACAGCTACGGGCACAGAGGAGGCTGCTAACCACGACGCATCCCCCTCTAACGTGCTGTGAGCAGCACAGCCGCGGCCGGGCTCACCCAGGGGTCAGGCAGCCTCACACAAGGGCTGCTCTGGCACATTACACGAGCAACCAGCAACACAACCTCTTTACCTGAAGTTGTTACAGCCCAGAACGACTCCCACGATGTTCTTGCCAATGTCGTGCACATCACCTTTGACAGTGGCCAGCACTATGGTGCCATGGTAAGGATCCTGGAAGGGGAACAAATGACAGCCAGGTTAAGTTGCTTGGATGCCTCAAAACGTTTGCACAAGTTCTTCAATGAGGGAAGCCTGATGCACAACTGAGGCAGCCATCCTAACACGCGTGACTGTAAAACACAGTGTTTATGATGTAAACAGTATGGAAAATCACCATAAAAGATTCTGGTCATAAGAACCTGCACTCAATAAATAGAAATCATACTACATTATTATTCAAATAGCTGGGTTTAATAACATTTATGAATAGGAAGTTTCAAATCTGGATGGCTTTTGTGCAGTGCCACACTCCAACCCATAAAGTACTCCTGCTTCAAACCTCTCTGATAAATAGTTTAAATGGATTAAATATTTAGAACTAGAGGGTGTGAATGTTCATAATGTTCATAATCACACAGCCACTTGAGTATTCATGGCAATCTTCTAATGCAAGAGTCTTTTTTTTTTTTTTTCCCCTCTCCCCTCAAATGCAACATCATTARCACAGAAAACTTCAGAAAATTTCAGTGTACTGATCAGGTAGCTTTAGACAATCCAGCCTGAGCAAACAGGCTGGAAAAAGAAGCTCCCTGAGTAAGGGAAGCTCTGCTGTCACCGGCTGTTCCTAAGTTAGACAGTCTCCAGTTAGACCCTCCAACCCTGCAAATGGGGCTGTAACCAGAAGGACAGCAGCTCTCCACTAGGACATGGGCTTTCATGATTGCTATTTGCAGTATAATCAGTGCAGTCATTTGAAGCAGCTCCAGGCTATCGCAGTGACATGTCTGAGTTTGTGCAAGCTCAAAAGGGATTAACAGGCTACTTGTTACAGCATTTATACAAAGGGAAAACCTGAGCACAGTCTATGTGAAAATGCAAATCCAACTTCTGTCCACTAACTTGCCTCTTTTGCAGATGACATTGCTGGTGGATTCAGCCTGTCATTAAAGCAAATGATTCACTCTGGATTTTATCCAGTATCTCTCCTTCATGCACTTGCATCGCCTTCTTTCTATATTCCCAAGAGGGACAGTGACATTTCCCATGATTCTAACACCTTTTGTGACACTCTACATCCCCACCCATTCTGCTGTTTAAATGGTTAGTCTAGCATCTCCCCAAGGCTCATCTTTTCAAAAGAGCAGGTAACTGAGAACACAAAATGAATGTTTATTAGGACAGCAGTTCTGGATATAGAAKCATAGAACGCTTAAGGTTGGAAGGGACTTCAGAGGTCATTTAGTCCAAACCCCTACACGCGCAGGGTAAATGACATCAATGTCACTTCTTCCAGCTGAAAATACAGTGCTGTACTGTAAGAGAAACTAAAGTAATCAAGGATTGTGGGAAGAATAATAACCACTAYACATATGTATCATATCCTAAAGCTACTGATGATTTAACTAGCCATTGATATCCAAGGAAGGAAATTGACTGGATCTGCACATAAGGAGGAAAATCTATGTTGGGCATCGAGCACTATGGGCCAGGGCACATGCTATTTTACATAAACTCTGTTTAAAACAAACCGATTTCAGTAGCCCCAAGCGAGGAGCTCCTCAAGSTCTGGGCACAGAGCCACGCAGCTCCTTTCAAAAGCCTGGACAGAGCTGCAGAGCCGCAGCCACTTACCCTCCAACACAACACGGTGCCGTTTGCACCGCCGGGCACTCTGCAGCTCAAACTGCCCCGGGGCTTCAATAGGGTCAGTACCATTAGGTGTCCCAGCCAGCAGCTAACGGCAGAGAGGGACCCGGCTGGTCTCCTCCTTTAGGAAGCTGAAAGCTCTATGCAGAGGAGCAAACACACAGGGGGGAAGGCGCTGCCATCCTCGCTCAGCAGAGGACACAGGAAGCAGGACAGAGGCCTTATGTTCTCCCCTGCTGCCCTCCGCAGCAGCACAGAACACCTACAGCCTCTGCAGAGAGCTTACCATTTTTTTCAGAGATTCTCAAACCCCATTTAGCCTCTTTCTAGGAAGAAAAAAAAAAAAAAGTGCAGAGAGTTCAACTGAAAGCAACGCAGGCAGTGATTCTCAGCATTTTCAAACAGAAACACCAGAACAAAGCAGATGGTGCCAACCAGGAGCACTCCTAGGAGTCTAAAGCACAAGTGCATCCAAATTAAAGAGGAACAGCAGAGGAAAAGGAAAGAATAAACAAGAGGGAGACAACACTCAGAGAGGAGACTCATGAGCGAGGGAGAACAGAACCACTGAGACAACGGAGAGGAGACACTGCCTTCACACACGAGAAGAGACTGGGAAGAGACGCTACGTGGGCTCCATCTCCCACGAAGGGCAGGCACGCTGGATTACCAGGGTCATCACATCCCATGTTCCATTAATCAAATATAGAAGAAATTACCTGGACATAAACTTCAAATAACTGATGGAACAATCTTCAAAGAAGAATCACCAAGTGGCAGCTGCCAAAGATGACATGCTATAGAGGAACTATAAAGGGATCTATAAGAGAACCTGAATGCCATTTGGTATTTTTACCAGTAATTTCAAGTGATCTACAAAACATAAGGATGTCAACAAAGGATGGGGGTGTGGATACTGCAGGACAGGATGAGGATTCAAGATTATCTTGACAAATTAAATAAGCATCCCTAAACTCAGTAAGATGAAATTCCTTATAAAGGACTGCCAATTATTGCAAGGAAATAAAAGAAATAAGAAAAAAAGAAAAAAAGAAAATGGGAAACATCTAATAAAACAACCTAACGGCAAGATTCATTAGCAGCAAAAGTCAATAACAGACCACACGTCACAGTGCTGCAGAACACCAGCCATTAGCACTGGCTTTGTGTTGAATCAAAGTAACTGCCAAGTCCTCCTTGTCCCCAACACCCAACCGAGGCCTTGCAATCCCTCTGGAAGGATTCCGGAGTCAGACACAGAACTCCTGAAGTCACCTCAAGTCATAAGACATTGAGATAGGAAAGCTCACAGCTTTCTCTGCCACTGCACTGCAGTGCTTTGACAGCATTACAGCATTTCCTTCCCCCCTACCCTAAGTATCTCCCCAAGGAAATTTAAGCCCCATTTACTCTTGAGAGGACATGGAGATTTTACTTGTCTTCCCGAGAAATACTTGATGAAGATGATAAACAGATAGTGAAGAAAAAGATGAAGATTTTAGTCAGCATAAGTCTGAAAGGAAATATACCCCACTCTATTGCGCTAAACTTTCACTCAAGATTAGATGCTTCTAACCATTATAACCATTGCTCTCTTCTGAAACTCTAACGAGTTCACACGTTTTCCTTCTAATGGGATGCTGTGCTTCCATCGGTGCTAAGTGGAGCATTAAAAAAAGAAAGAAAAAAGAAAAAAGAAAGAAAAAAAGAAAAAAGAAAGGAAAAAAGCACTGCACAGCACACTTCAATTCTAGCTGCTGGATTCTAGCTGGGTAGTTGTGGGGGAGTTTGGGTGCATGTGTGATGTTTTTTTTTGCAATACTACTGACACTGTTGACTAACATGTTTCTTTCTAACAACTACAGCCCTCAGACTTTTCTTCAGGAAACCATCACCTAGCCAGTTATTTTCCATTTTTATTTGTGCCATTCGGTTATTTCTGCTTCCATAATATCATGCACTAGTATCTACTGTACTAGAATCAAAGCAATTCTGGAAAAAAAAAAAAAAAGGAAAAAGTCATACGAAAAAACTAAATTCAGATCCTGTTTTCTTATTTAACAGCACCGCACAACGTGGGTATGGCTGCAATTATAATTAGCCTGCTATGCTAACATAACACAAAGTCTTGCTGTCACAGTCTATACAGACACATTTTAAGGTTTTTTTTTTTTTTTTTTTTTAAGGTGAGAAATCATTTGAGAGGGTCAAGATGAATAAAGAAAAACATTTTAATAGGTTTTGAAAACCTACAAGGCATTTAGAGTTCATCAATGGAGGAGGAAGTTGCAGATACTGGCAAAATTTCCCACAGGGAAGACTTAGATCAAAAATAACAGAAATGCTAACACCAGAATTGAATGCCTACGAAAGCCTGCGACACCCTTCAGGAGGTTTTCATGAACGGGTGAGACACACACTGAGCAAATTTTCATAAAATCTGCACTTCATGCATTCCATACCTGCTTCAAACTAATGGATAAATATCACCAGGAAAACAATTTCATTTTCTGTCAAGACATGCTACCAAAGAGTTACAGCACAAGGAACTGCCTTGCCTCTTCCTCCACGCTGCCTTGTCCAGCTCTCTTCTCCTCTCTCTCTTTTTCCATATAGGGAACGAGGTAGCCAACTGCCTTCTTCATAACTCGAGCAGACTTTATCACCTGCATAGATAAATAGAGGGGAAAAAAAAAAGTCGGAAAAACACCCTCAAATATCTCACAGCTTTTTTTCTACGGCCATTCAAACAAGCAACAAAATATCCCATCTTTGGCAAGCTGACATTCCAGCTTTGCAGAGCATTCTGAGGTACCAGGCTGCTGGTCTTACTGGACCAACTGGCCAAACACAACATTTGCTCTCAGTGCGCAACCTCCAGGGCTGCTCAAGACAGAAGGGCAGCTGGGTTTAGCACTTTAAGTCTCTGTTCTTACGCAAAAGTCACAAAAAGAAAGAGGGAAAAAAAAAAAATCCAATCAAACGTGACTATTTAAAACTACTTTCTAACCAAAGGAAAGAATTCAAGAGCAAGGGACAACAACTGTGGAAGCGTATACAGAGAGGCGAGTTCAAGAATGAAGAAAAATAAGTAAACTTACTAACAACGACTCAATTTTCTGAACTCAAGTGCTACATCTGAAAATAGAGCCAGTCTAGAATATTTTGGCTGCATTTTACAATGTTAGTTTTTGGCAAATATGAAAGTATAAGTAATTTTTTTCTTTACCTGAGGCAAAAACATCTTTCCAGCACCAAAAAGATCACCAACGATTTTCATGCCATTCATCAAAGGCCCTTCAATTATATTTAGAGGTCTAGGATATTTTTCATGATTTAACCTTGCCTCTTCTGTATCTTCAATGACATATTTCTCAATGCCCTGAGGAAAAAAAAAATGAAAAGGTTTTAACTTAGCAGAAATACAGCTTATACTTAAGAGCTGCCTTCCCTTTCCCCAAAATCAAAATAGAAGATACTTTACATGCTACTAGTCTTTAAGAATATATCAAATGTATACTTAAAATACATACTCTCAGGGAAAAAAAAAATCTGTATGTCCAAAGCCTTCTAAATTATTCTAACTACAGTCACAAATAATGGTGTTTTTGCTCCCTATGCAGAGGTGTAACTCAGCGCCAAGCAGCTGCACTACTAAGGGCCAGAGAACAACTGAAAAGTCAGAGCAGCCAGTGTCAGCAAACTAGTACTGCCAGCACTTGCAGAAAAAAATACCAAATTTGAAGAAATCAAATTGCAAACTTTACATCACAATGCTGTTCCTTTTACTGATTTCAAAGCTTTATTAAGTATATCTGTTGAAGAATTTTTAAGCTGCAAGTGGCCCTTCTAGAAATTTTATGCCCCAGAGTGCTCATCAGCCATTTGCTTGAGCGTGGCAACCTTGTAAAGGGGATTCACCTTTACGAGAGCGTATTCCAGCCTCTCCTCCACCGAGGTTTTCCGCCATTCATCAGTCTGTACCACTTTTTTCCCCCCTTGGGCATGATTCTGAAAAAGAAAGACATCTGTGGGAGCCTGACAGGATACGAAGTACAAGTACGGACTCCACTTCCAGAGAAGTCAGAATAATTTTGTGTATGGTTCATGAAATATTTTTTTATCGCACATGCAAATCACATTTTAAATATGTGTAATGTATGGCAGACAGTTAGTGGGTTTACATGCCAAAAAGTACATATCTCAATGAAGAAGGGAAAAAAGTAATGTTGGAGGGGGGAAACAATTCTAATAAATTTCATTCTTAAACAAAAATGCTGAAAAGACTAATTCTGAGGGCTTTATGAGAACATAATTTAAATTGATTCCTGGCCCATACAATGACACTTCATTTTAAAATTCAAATTAATCTGGCATTAACACCACTCCTGCCGAGACAGTTTATGCCATTTCTTCTCACAGATACCTTTGCAATGAGAAGGGCCTGAAGCAGCACTATTTTTCACAAATATGGATTGCCCTGGTTCCTCTCACACTCTCTCTGCCTCACGTCCCCTTTCTCCTCTGCTTCTCTGAATGCAAAGGCCAAACAAGCTTCTCGGGACAAGAAAGCTCTTCAACCCCCATGATGTAAGTTCACGGAGGAGCACACTGTACTTTACTTCAGCTACCACACTTCAGGCAAATTATTCCCTTTTCTCCCTCACCTATTCTTCATAATCTGAGGTTTTCTTTCCCTGTATTTCTGAGCCCTCGTTAGCAACTCTTTAAAGACAACGCCAGAGAAAGAATCATGAGAACCTCATCCAAAAGATCTCATCCCCAAGAACAACCAGTTCTCAGTTGAGTTGATACAAGTGTTAGCTCCCTTCATCGCTTCTTATCAAACCCCTCACCGATGTCGTTTGTACAGAGAGAATGAAAGAAGGGGGAAAAGGTTGTGGAGTCTCTATCCTTTGAGATAATTAAAGCACAACTGGACACAGCTCTGCACAGCCTGTGAGTGGCCCTGCTTGGAGTGACCCTTCTGTGGTTCTCTCAAAAGGGCCAAGGGCTCCTCAACCTCTGGTCACACATTTCAGTGAGGAGATCATCCTAATCTAAAAATAACTCTTCTTTAACCAACCCATGAAGTTGTAGGGTGGGCATGCAGGGACCACAGCAGCAAACACTACATGCAGATTTTGAAAAAAACAGGATGATTGCACTGCATGCTAAAGATGACAAAAAACAGCTTCAGAAGCACAACTCCCATTGCCGTAAGAGGGACTAAGTTTGAGAACGTCCACAACTTTGCACATGATGGAAAATGGTTTTTTCATCTCAAACTTYGGATGCAAACAGAACTCCTACAGGAGCAACTGCCTTGCTTTCCCCAAGGGTCTCGTATGCAAGGAACTGGCAAGCACTGTTACCTGAAGGAATTAGGAGGACACTTCTCTGGAGCTCTATGAGAGGTGCAGTACTTGAAATGGGACTGCACATTCTATGCTCTATGTGCAAGAACAAACTGCAGTGATCAGAAATAAAAAGAACACATGCACTTACTGACTGGTAAATAAATGTTTGTGTTTATTTAAGAAAGGAAAATACCCCACACACAATAAATAAAAAGCTTTTACAGAGAAGAATTTAGAAATATTCAAGTGCACTAAATGAAGAGGAGAATCAGGAAAAGTGTTTTGAAAAATGCTCCAAACTTTACATTAAAACTCGCTTTATATTATATAGGGTTTATTCTTAGATGTAAATAAAGGGTGGGTTTTTTTTTTTTTTTTTTTTTGGTAACTGGGCACTGTTTTACTCGTGCAATAGAATAACTGCCACAAGCAAGAATAGAGCTTTCAATATTTGAAATATCAACAAGAATCTTCCACACTTATAGACCTCAAAGGAGGAGCCCACTCCCAGTTTTACTTCTCACGTTCCATTTAGATTGGCTCCATATTCTGCAGAAACAATACCTGCACAATCCCTTTCCAAACTTGATTAAGATATACTTAACTACATGATTAATCCTCTCTAAAGGTAAGTATTCTCAAATTAAGACTTCCTTAACAGAAACGTTCAATTTTAAACTCTTGAACACGTGCATCTGTGTTGCTCTTAGGGATTCATACAGAGGGTATTTAAAATCCCAAACGCATGTAACTATTTCTGAAAAAAATCCATTAGGCAGTAGTCTGTGTAGACTCCAAGAATGGCTTTGTAGATCTGTCCTTCCAGGCCTTAATCTTTCCACCATGCTTTACTTTTCCACGTGTGTGCATGCATATATTTCTTCCTCTTCAGGCAACACTAACAATCCAAGAGTGGAAACCTTCTTACACGGCGAGCAAATTTACATTTACAAGCGAATTGCTTGGACATTAGCAGCAAGTTACAAAACAGCCTAGACAGAGCTATACACAGTCTTCCTGTATGTTTTTTAAACATGTTGCCATTGTTTCTGAAAAACACGTGTAACTGTGGAGCAAGGTACAGACCAAAGGAAGCAGTGCAGTCAGGAGCTGCACCAGGGCCGAGCAGCCTTCGGGTGCGCCCATCTCCTTTGCCAGGAGCCACCTCACTCACCCGGACAGGTTCCACCTGCTAGCTCTGTTCAGCACAGGATTTCATCAGTCTTTTGGCTCCTAATCTGGAAATCACCATGAGCGTAATCTRCATCTTTTATTACTACCATCATGACAGCATCTCATAAACACTAATGAGATGATCCCCATCTTGACCAGAGTGACGTTCTGAGCTGGAGGACTACGGCCCAGCCAGGAACTGAGGGCAACCACTCATCCAGTGGTGAGACAAACCTGCACCACCCAAGAGTCTAATGTTTTTGCCTCCCTCAGGGCTCCTGCCAATTGTGCTCCAACAACAGGTTAAACTTGGCTGTGGGTTAGCCTTTCCTATGTTAATTTTGTAAGAGAACATGTATGCAGTTTGATGTGCTGAAGCACCTGAGAAACACCAGAGTGAGTCCTTTCAGGGCACCTGTGAAACTGGACAGGAACAATCTGTTACRGAGGCCACGTTCTGTTCTTTTTCAGAAACAGACTGCACACAGTATCAGCAGCAACTTCTAACACTCACTGTTCAACTGACACACCTTACAGGATGTTTCGCCTGCCATCAGCAGGGACGTGCTGAAATCCAGCTGCTAAGCTAACCACTGCTCCAAGCTTAACATTGGAAGTTACCTGAGCATAATGTAAAAGTTTCTCTGTTGCGTCAGGATCTTTGTTCCAGATCAGATTCTCACACAGCAGCAGCAGTTCCTTGTGGATATCATCATACACTGGCAGATTCCCAGCATTCACAATCCCCATGTCCATGCCACACTGGGAGGACAAAGAAAAGAAAAAAAAAAAGAAAAAGGGAAAGATCACACAGAATCCCTTCACCAGGGCTCCCAGACATAGCACTGGTCAAAAATTACACCCTACCTTAATTGCATGGTAAAGGAACACTCCATGCATTGCTTCTCGAATGGCATCCATTCCTCGAAAGGAGAAGGACAGATTGGAAAGGCCTCCACTTATCCTGGCTCCTGGCAGGGTCTCCTAATGGAATTGCATGCAAATTTTTAGAAAAGCTGTTACACAAAAGGAAATTTAAGTACAGTAAATAGTCCATGAAATAGGTGGTCACTGAGCTGTGGTGCACTACTAATGTCCTCTCTTTCTGCCATGGTTTCTGTAGGCTCTGGTGCTCTTTTAAAAGCCCAGCAGCCTTCCAGATGCTCCCCCAGCAGACCTAGTACCTCCCTTCCCATCCCTCAGCCCCCGTGCCCAGCAGCACATCTCAGGAATGGGTTAGCTCTTCCTGAACTTAAGCTGGGAATCAGGCTCAACTTGAACTTTAGAACCTAGGGTACCTGAGCAGCTAACCTCAAGGCAGCAGCCTTTCCATAGGGACACGTGCTGAAAAAACACCCTGTGAGGTAACCAAGCCCCAGGGTGCTTGTGGTGCCGCACCTCCAGCCCCGAGTACCTGCCTCTTGAGACGCCACAGCACAGCCTCCCTGGCTGCATTCAGGCACTAACCTTCATTTCTGCATCTCCTGACGCACACATTTTGGCTAAACAGTCAGACTACTGCAYGAGGCCCAACCAGAGCAATTGAGCCCATATTAATCAAAAGGAGCAGCTTTCACATACCTTCAGAGAGGTCCTTTTGGCTAGAACACCTAATGTAATTGTTACCTTATTTAATTAGTATAGTATTTTTACAGTAGACTTAATGGATTGAAATATATTTATAGAACTATTTAAAGGTCTTTCATTGGAAATAAAACAATTTAGGAAAACAGCTGCACTTCACAGGAAGAGCCCTACAATTAAATTAAAACGCTCAGTATTTTGTAGCAGTTGGGCTCTTTTCCTAAAGCAAACCCAGTAAAATACTAAACTCTAAGTCAAAATAAGCTCATAACTCACTTTTATGGTTTTAGTAGCATTGATAAAATTCATGGCATACAGGTTATGTTCTTCCATTCCAGTACCTATGGTCAAAATATTAGGGTCAAATATTAYATCATTTGGATTGTAGCACAGTTTTTCCACAAGGAGGTGATAAGCTCTGGTACAGATTGCAATCTTGGATTCTGTTTCTGTCGCCTGCGGAGAAAGAAGAGTTTTCCCATGAAACTAAGACAACATGAAAAGCAGAGTCTTCAGAAATCATTTACAGCTCCAGTGATAACAGGATTGAGAATTCCCAATCTGAACACCATTAGAGAAGGATGACACATAAAATCTGGATTCTACCCATTAAAACAAAACGAACAAACAAAAAACTGCTTTCCAACAATTCATCATCCTATGCAGTTTAATATTTTTTAAAAAAAGGCTAAAAATAAATTGACAAGGATTCCCCTTTAATAATAAAATGCAACTTCCAAATTAAAATCTTTTGTGCAGCAGCAGAATAAGCATAGCAGAATAAGCAAAAAAAACAGGCTTGTGCTAACAGCAGTAAATGTGGAGCAAAACTTGGATTCCTTGAATGAGGGAACAACATAAGAAATGCTTATAAATCAGGATCAAAAATAGTGCCAAGAGCAGTGGCCCCTTTAAGACCTCCATGCCAGTGAAAAACCTCTCCTTTAACAAGCGACACTCACCTGACCCATTTCATCAAAAGCCATGACAACCACTGCTGCTCCATACAGTTTAATCTTCCTGGCTTTCTCCAGAAAGTCTTTCTCACCTTCCTTCAGACTGATGCTGTTCACAATGCATTTTCCCTGGCAGCACTTCAGACCTGCTTCAATCACTGAGAAATTTGAGGAGTCAATGCACAGCGGCACCTGCAAAGAACCGAGGTGAGCAAGGACAACACACACAGGTTACAAGTTAAATGGGCCCCGGGCAGTTAGCCAATTTGGACACAGCACAATATTCATTAGCTTTTATGAATAAGAAGTTTCTAGGTGGCATTTGTTGATTCACTTGCTTTTAATGCAAACTCAGAGCAAATTTAACTCAGGTGCTTCTATGAATATCCCATCACTTCTCCTCTCTGTATGGTCTTCTGTTTAAGAATGAGATGATCATTTCTAGATAAAGTACTTAGCAGGAGCACCTTCTAGATCACTGTCCCTCACATGGTTAAGGTTTTGTGAGGAACAGCCCAGTAATACACTGCCTGCACACAGACTGCAGTGCAAAACTGTCACAGCAGGARCCTTCACTCAGCTATAACCAACAAAAGACTGACCTACGTTTAGTTCAAAACAGAGGACATTAAAACAGACMGTCTTCCTCGCTTCACTGCTGTCTAATGCTGCCCCAAGAAAGGCATTATTAGAACAGCTTGCTCCGATACCTCTGTTTTCTTCTATTTTCTTTTTCGATTCCAGCTGGTGAACAAACAATTCAATAACAACATTTTCTGAAAGGCAACTTCCAGCTCAACAATATGTTCCATATTGTGCTTCAGGGCAACTCAGTTGGTACCTTTGCAATATCAGGTTCTGAAGAAATCAAGTTACAAAATCTGGTCATAGCGGCAGGGCCATCCAACATGCCATCATCCATATTGATATCAAGAACCTGGGCTCCCATCTCAACTTGCACTTTGGCTACACTAAGAGCTTCCTAAAGAAGAAACATAGAACAGGTCATCAGAAAACACAGCCTAGTCATTTTCAAATTAACGTTTCATTGTCTGAAAAAGTGTGCAGTCCTACAAATTACCACAATAAACGTATCCTTTATTAAAACTTTAAAGGGCAATCTGTAAGAGAATTAGGAAATAGTCCTCAACACACAGCAACAGGGAAGTCATCAGCATGACACAACACATGACYGTTTTATTCACAAAAATACGGCACCAGGTACCTACACATGCTGACAGTGCCATTAATTTTAAAAGTGGGTCATATATTTAAAAGATCTAAGACTTGCATGGTAACAAGGACAGGAAAACTGTCTCTGTGATGTATATATACACACACACCACAGAGATGTATATCCCCTTGTATAATGAGGGTCTGGTGTCACAAGCCATGCTCTTTTTTAAACATGGAGTACTTTATTTTTGGAGGTTGGTTGGCTTTTTTTTTTTTTCCTCCATCTGCAGAATAACCACCAAGTTATTCTGTTATTAAGAAGGAAARTTATTTCAAGTTATTAAGAAGGAAATACTAAAGCTTCCCTTCCAGCCCACATAATAACACTAGGGTCTGTTGGCTCTTTCTCTGTTTTAATCATGCTGCAGATTAAGGAGAGGGAGAAGCAAAACAAAACAAAAAGGCTTCTAGTTGCTCACAGGCCCTAACAAGCTGCATTTAAGCTCTTTATTTAATAGGTCTAACTTGCCTCCCAAATCATAAGACCTCAAAAGCCCTTGTAAAACTAAGCTGAAGTTGTGATCTTGACTGTATTGATTGGAACAGCAGAGCATGTTTCGGGGGCAGAGCCTCAGCCGGCAAGAAACACGACTACCCTATTTGCTTTAACAAAGTTACAGGGAAGATATACACCAGTATAAAGACAAAAACCAGCTCTGTAGCCTTTCTGCTTTGGTTCTTGAGCCATTCCAACTGGCAAGCACTTTCCGAATCCCTYTTTCCACAGCGGCTCTCGCTCAGCCCGTGATCCAAGGGCACACGGGCCCAGGCCAGGCGCTGGCGGGGAGCAGTGGGCGCCAGGCTGCAGGGCRGCCCGGCCTCCTCTCCCGCCTCAGGCACGCTCGGCACGTGCGAGGCAGGCGGCACTACCAGCCCTTTCCTTCGGCCTCTCTGCCCTGTAAATTCCCCATAAACACAGCACTGAGCAGGGCATTTGCTGTACCACCGCTCAGTGCAACTAAACCAAAATGGAAAATCATGCTTCCTGTAGCATTTGTCAAAAAAAGGAAAAATCCCACCTTGCAGAAACTTTTTAGTACGTTTTATARGAGCTGATAAGCACAGAGACAAAGGGATATGAGGAAGCGTTCTTATTTTTTCCCCTCTTCTAGTTGTCACAAAACAGGGCTTTGTGCCAGCAAAAGAAACAGCTACTAATGCAAGGCAACACAGCAGGGAAGATCAGATCATTATCTATAAAGATCATTGTTTAAAAAATATATACTTCGTAGTTGCCTGCCATGATGAGTTTAGCAAACTTGCGTGATCCTGCAACGTTGCAGCGCTCGCCAATATTAACGAAGTTGGTGTACGGCCCAATCCTGAACGGCTCCAGACCTTGAAGAGATATTTTTGTGCATAGTTGTTAAAAAAAAAAAAACACAAAACACAGAGGAAAAAAAAAGGCAAATACCCCTTTCTGATTTCTGAAACACAGGCCTATCCTTCTTTGGGAGTCAAGGTTTATCAGCATACGAGGACGTGCACAGATCTAATGAGTAACTAGCTCAAAGCAACACAATGAAAGAAGTTAATTATAAATACACAACCRCTTCCAACACGTATGCCAAAGGGCATCCTCTATAGTCAATAATTTACCTGACCCACAGTAAATAACAACTAATTCATCCAATGTGAAATGCCACGAAGTTGTGATGCTCTGAGCATCCCTGCATGCCCCTCCATTCCCAGCTGTTATCTCACCGCTCTGACACGTGGCGAGGCCGCCCGCTGACCTGGCTGCCCCACAAAGGAACGACTCTTAACCACATGTCCAAGTGCAGGGAAGCCAGGCCACAGCCAAGGAGGACTCACGGGTAACAGGCAGAGCAGTGGCAAACAAGCCTTGCAGGGGGATAGAGAGGGCTCCTGCAGGAAATCACCATTTATTTCAYCTATGTTAAACTGCTTTGACTGAGATATAAAATACAAACCCAAAATGAAGGGTCTGTTTTATTTGGAAACATTTCTCAGTGCCTTAAAAGAATGTATGGTTGAGTAATCTACAGAGCAAAACCTTTTTTTTTTTAATRCRTTATAGAGCTAGATGGTGCACCATAACATGGCCCCAGCACAGAGGATCCAGGTCTGAGACCACTCGGGGCCTCAACAGATGAACAAGGATCCCTTCCCAGCTCTGCATCAGCTGTAGTTAAATTATCTGAGAGTAAGGATAAAGATAATTCACCATTACAGTGCACCTGAGATTTACTGAGTAAAATATGGTGTCCTGATTATATTGTACAAGACTGCAATAAATTGTGCTGTTAATCCTTTGAATTCAGCCTGGGACAGGCCAAAGCAGCAAGATTTACATCTGTATAAGCTGGCTGGGTTCAGGTACAGCCAGAAATGAGCAGCCATTCTGATYAGCAGAAAGTAACAAATATATTAACATAGGAAGGTTACCCGAGTTGGAAAGCTCACATTGTCACGCTCTGCTTTACCTGATAGCAGCATGTATCCTTCAGAGAGAGAAGATGGTGGCACACGAGGTTTGCAGCATTTCACAGCTTCAGCAATTTTCCTGAGGGAAGAAAAGACACACAGAGGCTTGGAACAGAATTATAGGACTCCAAACAAGACCAATAGAACATTCCTGACATTCACCCCATACCTCCAAGTCAGCCCTGTCACAGACAAGTCTAATGGGCACGTTTCACTTTTTGTGCAGAGAAATATGTAGCTATTGGCAGGGAGTGTACAAAGATGAAGATTTATCAAATACAGAGCATTATAAACTATGACAACTGGATGCTCACACGCAGGGAGCCTGATGGATATCAGCAGCAGCCTTCAGCTACAGTGACTCTGCACTCGTGATTTATTGAGCTGAGCAACAGGCAATTGCAGTGAAACAAGAGACAAACACCATTCTGTGTCCAGATGCATTTCTCAGAGCTCAGAACAAGTCAGGAGGTTCAGGAGCTATTACCCTTCTTTTGACTCCAGTCAGGAACAGCACACGCTGTCCTCTGCACACTCAGGTACTACCTCCTCCCAGGTTGTATAAGGGTAAAAATGAATCATATAAGCACCTTCTCTTTCAAACCCAGGTGAAGAAGTGACGTTTTTTTCCCGTCCTACTTTTAGGGAGAAAGATACAAAAAACTTCTCACAGCTGGCCAAGACTAACACCAGCTTTATAGCACTCCCAAAGGCCATTATAGATTTTCTCCCCTTTCTCCCCTCCCCGAGCCTTCCTTTTACTAATCACAGAAAATCTGACATTTCACCAACTAGCTAGGGGGCTGACGAAGAAGATAGAAAGTAAGGGAGCAAAGACAGGAATTCTATTCTRTGCAAAGGTAAAGAGGGAGGAATGATGCTGGAACAAGTTTAGAAGACAAATCAGCAGAGGCATAGCCCTGCCAGGATCATGCCTTTACCCATCCCTCAAAACACATGGGGCTGCGAAAGCCAGATTATTCTGCTGCACACACTGCTGCTATTTCCATCCAAGCAATTCATCTTCTAAGGGAACTCTAAGACATGCCAGGGAATATTGCTCCAAGGAAGCTGCAACTTATCRACTGTTCAGCGCACCTCAAGTTGTGCTTCATAAAGTACCTGATATGTGCTGGTGTAGTCCCACAGCAACCTCCAACTATATTAACTAAACCATCCATGGCAAAATTCTGTAAAAGGAAAACACAGAACTTAGTTACAAGTTAGTACAGGTATCTGACACCTGTATTCTCCACATATTAAGCAACTTTGAGGATCACAAAAGATTAAATAAAAAAAAAAGAAACACCATCACTGTTTTCCTTTGGATTTGTTTGCAGATGTAGATGTCTAATGCTGACAACTCRACAACTCTGACACCTAATTTTAGCAAAGTGTATTTGAAATTGGTTGGTTTTATGCTCAAATTCCAGGGGAAAACTTGGAAGARTGCAGAGATCATTGACACTTCAGTGCAGAAAGCAACTAACATGCAGATGCTGCTGCTGCTTTCCTTGGCTGTGCTGACCCGCAGCACATCCAACCACCCCGTTCTGCCGGACACGGCTAGGGCAGCGCTCGGGAGGCCACCTCCACTGCTGCCCCATCGGGGGCCCTACAAACACAGCTCCGAATCTCTGCCATGTTCCTAAAAACCGCTCAGCTTTCCAAACGATTCCCAAAGAGGCATGCAAGAATGCAGGAGTGCAAATGCTAAACACCTGCAGATCCAGCTGCAGCAAAACTGTTTGGCGTAGGCAAAGGGAGCCCAAAGCATCCAAGGTTTTCAGAGTTACCTAAAGAGTTTCTCTTACTCTGGCACCTCAAAAATACTGGTGGCTACGAGCAGACAAAATGACAGGAACAGCTATCCAAGGAAAAAAGCAACACAATCTAACAAATGCGCATAAAATACCAAGATGTATGTCCATATCTACCAATCTGCTAAATTTGACATGTTTATGAGAAATATTACACACCTTTATGTGCTTGGCAGTTACTTCTGGAGTTTCATCATAACCACCAAAAGCATTGGGAAGACCTTGAAAAATTATAATTTGGTTAAAACCTTGCAAAAGCACAAGTAAATTCCACACAAAATACCCCTAAAATATCTGCACTTCTATGACAATTACAATGCCTCATCACCCTTGCAATCATTACTCAATCATTAATTATGCAGTGTTCTGAATTCATTGTCATAGAGCTAAAAACAATTATTTTCAGAAGCTTAAAAAGTTCTTAATTTGTTTTTAATGGTAGCAACAACCTTTTCAAGCTAAACTAACTCTTATTTCCAATTGAAAAGGAATGTTTAAACGTATTTCTTCTGTACACAAGCACAGGAATATGTGCACATGCACACAATGTACCTGCATTGGGGTAACARATGATGTAGGCTGTTGTGCACTTCCCAATCGTTTCAATGAAAGGTCGCATTTCAACTGCCCCTAAAGCACAGTTTAAGCCAACACTAGAAAAAAAAAGTACATATTTATACTTTGAGCACAAGAACACCTATTATAAACAAAAGAGATTAAAGCTAGTGCTGGTAACTACTAACTTTCACAATGATCTACACCTCAACCACCCTGGTCTCCCGGTGGATGGTGGAAGATGCCATCTCTGCCACACAAGAGGCCTCTCCGGGTGGAGGAGAAGGGCGAGGGGGAGCCCCCAAGGAAGGGACTGAACTGGGAGTGGGACACCCAGATGTCATTTCCGAGCCTAGGAAGGCAGCGGCGACAGTCTGACCAGTCTGACAGCAGCCAGAGCAACAGGAGGGCTCTGCACGTCCTGGGTGAAGGAGAGAGCGGGTGGAATTCAGATGACAGACTGAAACGGAGTTCTGCGCTGCAGGAAGTATGAAATAGCTGAAAGAGCGAAGAATTGCCCCAAACTAACTCACTTTTCTTTAAAATTTGCACATAAATTTTGTCAACGCTGGAAATAACTGAGCGCATCCCTGAGGAGGCCTTATAACTGCATTTAGTTTTTGCATTGAACCTGCTCAGTGCCTTATCCTGCGTTTTAGGGACCTGGACAGCACTACACCAGGAATCTTCTCACATGAATAAGCTTCTTAAACAGTTTTACCGGGATAAGAGGTATGGTCCTGTTTTCCTCAAATCAACCACAGATATGCAAGTGGGACTTGAATTCAAAATGACTGCATTGAGATTAAAAAGTAATTTTTTTCTTTCATAAAGGACATCTGAGACCTTTTACTACAGATGTTTCTGCAATATTCTCCAGCACTGTAGCAGCCATCTCATAAACTCTGCAAAACTCAGAAGGTGCTCACAGTGCTGCTGGAAAAAGAAGGGGCAAAAAAATCTTTTGCTTTTCCTGGGGCAGTGTCAGGGAGGACAGAGTCCACTACACAGAAACTTGAGGGATAATACCCATATTTTCCAGCTAACTGAATGCCAGGCCTGCTCTAGAGCAGCTCGGTTAACGCAGCACATGTACGCCCACCTATATGTCAGCAGCAATAAACCCAGCACTCAACTGGGAACTCAAAATGGCTTTAACTTCTCCTGTTTCTTAGGAGCAGGCAGGGACTTTAGACTGGTAATTGCACAGATAACAGCAGCAAATACTTGGACCGAATGACAAATCCTTGAGATCCAAGGGGTTCCTGGCACCCTCTGAACACTGTACCGTCAGTGTACTGAACCCAATGACGCACACACCTCTTCTTCCCACAGCTTGTTGTTTCAATAGCCTGATCTACCTTCACATGATTTTTCTGATGCATTTTGCACAGGTCACTCTACTTTTACAGTAGAAGTAGCAGAGGTTTGAAGTAGAAGAGGTTCTATGAAAAATCCTTTACTTCCCTCTCCCCATTTTGTGCTTACATACATTTTAAACACTCATATAGAACTCCCCAGAATATGCTAACTCAAGAAGCCTACAAGTACAACAACGAAGATCTGGAAGTTACTGCGGTGTGAGCTCCTATTTTAGGATTTTTGAAGTAAAACATGGTAAGAGCCATTAATAAGACTGTCGGCTCTAATTAAACGTAGATGAATGCAATACATTTACTCCTGTTAAGTCACRTTCAATTTACGAGCCTCCAGCTGACACTTTTTCCCCCCAATCAAGGCAACTGCCTTTCATTTAGGCAGCTCCATTACTCCCYGCCTCTCCTCGGACCCACCTGCCTCTGGTTCTGCTCGCTGCCCCATCTGCCTCTGTCTTCACCCCACCCCAGCCTCAGCAGAGGCACCACGAAGGCGGCTGCGGCGTTGGGCAAACRAGCCGCTTGGGCGCCCCGAGCCCCAGCCCGGGGCGGCTGGGGGGCCTGCGAGCGCAGCAGCGTCCACACCGCGCTGCGGCACCATCCCAGCGAGGCCGGCACGCACAGACACGGACACTCGCTCAGGAGCGAGTGCCTGCACCTTCTTCACCCGCCACCCGGCACCAGCGTGACGGAAAAYACTCGAGAAAGCGAATCCGTGAGGCTGGCCTCAAAGCCAGGAGCCTGGAAGCAGGCAGCGGGTACAACACTGCTGCTGGTRTAACAACCATCACTCCCTCACCCTGAAAATCACCTCTCCCTCGCTYGCTCTTCACAGCACCCACTTACCAGCTCCTGTGAAAGCTGCTGGTGCTTTCACAGTGCAGCGCACTTTGGGATCAGAACAAAGAGCACATCAGGGCCCTGAACTCCAAGGGTGTCTTTCTACCACTTCCACAGTAAAGCACTCAGGATGAGAGATGGCACAAAGGGAATCAGGCCCCTTCCCCGCAGGCAGCCGGTCACCCGTCCCGCAGTGCTCCCCGTGGGAGCCTCCCGCAGCCACCAGCTACGGCACTAGGACACTGACCTTAGTCTTTCTAAACGGGCCTCCAACCAAGCGGATTTAAGGACCGTGTGTTACCCCAAAATGGACGTGAAACCCAACTGGAAATGCACAAATAGACATAAGTTGATGCCTCTGACACTATTACCAAACAGAAACAACCAGCTTTCTTCTCAAGCCTAGAGCCACTCTCTACCAATTTGGCAGCAGCAACAGAATTAAAACACAATCTGCTCCCACATTAAGACCCTTCTGCTACATTACTATATAGTGACCTTCCCATAAAACAGAAACAGGCCCTAAGCACTGAGGCACACAGGAGAGCTCTTACAAAATATGGGTTAATAAATTCCTAATTCCTGCTCTGGTGCCCTTCTCTCCTCTTCAGAGATAGCAGAGTCAGGAAGAAGCTTATCAGAAAAGGACTCATGCCAATATGAATCACTAGGCTGCAAGGTGGAGCGAAGGAGTCAACTACCACCCCGTTCCAAGAGGCTCCATATGTTACTTCTGGAGCCCCGTCTGGCCTGGGAGAGCGGAGCCTCAAGGGCAGTCAGGAAAGCTGTGACTGCAGAACGTCTTCTGCTCCTGTATCGCTAGGATGACAGATTGGAAATTTTAGCTGGACTTTTGTTGGAAAAAAAAAACAATGGCTCATCACAATGTGCTTGGCATGCCACTCGGGAAGCAAAAGGCTTTTTTTTATTATTATTATTATTTTGCAGTATAATTTTCATGCGAAGAACTAACTGAAAGAAGAAATAATAGGAAAGGGAGAAGAGGGAGGAAAGAGGCAGCAAAGAGTATAGAAACAGGGAGGACTAGAGAAACATAATACTATGCAAATTAACATGCAAGACTGTACAATGACTAAAATATGCTMTATTTTACTTTTTCACAGCTCTAATCTACTTGGTTGATTTTTTTCTTTTTTTTTCCCTGAACAGAAAAGAATGTAAACAAACAAAAGCAACAGGAATTTTCAAAAYAACAATATACTTGGAAAAAAATCTTAGTGAATGTATGCAATTTGGTAAGAATTTAGAAAAAAGAAAAGACCATCAGAAGGAAGTCTTATGACTTGCTCTTTCAATCCATTCTCTAACATTTTTGAAATGGTACTGGGCACAGCTTCCCTGTAATGAAGAGCCCTAGGTCCTGCTACATCAGCAAACAGCTCTTTGCAGAGTTTGAGACAGTAGGACAGTTGAGGTCAGCTCAAAGTTTCAAGGGATTTGTTTTTAACACCGTGCCATAATCRTGATTTCAGCAGCTCTCACAAACAAACAAAAAACAGAACAAGGACCAAAAAAATTAAGGAACAGTAACAGARGAGCACACTAACAACACACAGGACTGATTATCACAGTTAGTATATCTTCTATTTTCCTCTAAGCAAGGAATTCCAATAAAAAAAAATTTGTGAGACAATCTATGAGTTATCTTAATAAGATAAGGACACGTTTCCTTACCAAAGTGGCTTACTGTGAGAAACACTAATGACGAATGCCTCTCCCGTCTGGCCTGAGAGGGTACGTCCGCTCTTATCTACAATAGTTCCAGACACCTAAATATCAAGAGGGACACAGAGAAAAGGAAAGAATAAAAAAATAAAGATGAATTCGAAAGGTTGAACTATTAGAAGTCAAAACACACAGATCTGTGTTCTACTCAAAGTGATGAGATACAACCTAAAGAGAAAAACTACATCTTGTGTCCCCTGGAAGTCTCTAGACTTTTGACCAATCAGTATTTAATCTCTCAACAAAAACTTGCACAGACCATTCTAGGGGAGGGCAACGTTAGTGCTACAGTACCCCTGCGACRGCCTCTAAACCTAGGGGTTTGAAATCAGCAGTGGTTATCCACTTATGTAGGCAACTATCAGCAGATACAGCTCCTGTCATATTCCCTGCCTCCTCCTTTACGTTATTTCAGGTCTCAGGACTGCTATGGAGGAATAAAATAAAATGAAACTCACTGTTGATAAACACTAAGTGGGGAACGCAGAAAAAGAAAATCCAACTACATAATAGTTATAGAAACATAGACACATTCCAAACTTGCCCTTAACTGCTCAGGAATCAAACTCRAGTAACAGGAGAAAGTTTTATGGAAACAAATTCAAAGCTCCCCACCAGTAGGGAGCTGCAAATGAAATAATAGGAACAACAAGAAAGAAATGGAACAGGATAGAGAATGCCACTATGCAATCACATAAATTTCTGATGCAGTTTGAATCTTCTTTGCTATTCCAATTCCCCTTTGATGCAGAAAAGAAAAACTACACACACACAAAAGCAACCAACAAAACTTTCACAAYAAGCTTTCCTATTTTTGTATTTGTCGCTATGCGTTTGTCACTTGAACATTTGGCGAGAAAAACAAACAAACAAAGAACAAACAAACAAAAGGGCCCACGATTTCTTCTTTGAAGCACTGGTTCTTTTACCATCTTGGAAAGCAAGCCTGAGAAAGCCCCATTACCAGCTRTTTTTTCTCTGATATTTATTTATATGCGGGAATGCAGTTGTTCTTTGATCTTCAGCTGACAAACTGGATGGAACTACTTCAGGTTGATTACATGAAGTGCTTCCCATAGAAGTTTCTCCTTCCACAATCAGGTGATAGGGCAGAAAAAGCACATTTACTTCCTTCATTTCAAGCTGTATTTCAAAATACCTCTATCACTTGCTACCTCCATCTAATTCAGGAACCAGGTCTAAGCAGTTGTAAAGCGTTAAGTAAATAAGTGATAGACACTTACAAATATTGGTCGGGGATCATACTCTTCCTCAAACAACTTCTGGAGAGCAAAAAGAGCAGCCTATAGAATAAAGTACAGAGTGTTAATGGCTGATTTGGGGGCTAYTCAGTTATCATTTTTCTGCTTAGTTTAATGCACACAAACACTATCTTTCTATTACTTTTTTAAAAGTTTTGTGGCTCTTCATACAACCTGCTACCTCATACTGTCTGTGAGAACTTAGTGAACCCAAAGGTCATTTCCCTCACCTCTAACATTTCCTGAATTTTCAAACAGATCTTAGCGACAAGAAGARAACAAGTATCACAGAGTAACCAAATAAGATCAGGGCACTCTACACATCTTCTCTCTAACACAGGCATCCTTTAGACAGGAAGACATTAACAGAATATATTAAAAGGTAAAGGATAAAATCCTGGAACAAGTTGTTTTATCATTCATTTATCATGCTRCTTTATCAGTATTTCACCAAATTCATACTATTACTCACTTTTTTCCCCCCCAGGAGTCTCACCTTAGCATTGGCTGTATCAAATATGGTTTCTACTAACATGATATCCACTCCTCCATCCAAAAGCCCTTTGGCTTGTTCTGTATAGGCTTCAACCAGCTCATCAAAAGCTGTAAAACAGAAATTATGCTAAAATTACATGGAAGTCTCTTTAAGTCTATGATTTAAGTCAAGTGACTTGACTGTTATACTTACTGATGTTCCTATAATCTGGCCTTTCCACAGAGGGCGATACAGAGAGCGTCCTGTTTGTTGGACCCATGGCTCCAGCAACATATCTCCTAATTCCTAAAGCAAGAGAGAGAAGAAAACAAACAAACAAAACCACAGCTTACCTCTGGTTTTTGTTTGTTTGTTTTGTTTTTTTTAACAACAACATCCTTATCATAAAATTACAGAACAGTGAGGGTRACAGAGCACTAGAACAGGTTGCCCAGAGAGGTTGTACAGTCTCCTTCTCTGAAGATCTTCAAACCCTGCTTGGACGCAGCCCTGTGCCAYGTGCTCTAGGTGACCCTGCGTGAGCAGGGGGGTTGGACTAGATGATCTCTAGAGGTCCCTTCCAACCTTAATGACTCCATCACTAGAAAAAACCTCCAATGTCTTCAAGACACAGATATTTTTCAACGATGAAAAACTGCCATATTTTAACAAGAAATTACTTTTGCTGTGGAGAGTATATATGACTACCATCAGACCCATCTTCTTTAACTTTATCCCACAAGATGTTTTGTACACACACACGCTATATAAAAGAACATTTTAAGCCAAAGACAACTGCAAGCAGCTGCCATAAGTCAAATTTTCTTTCAGTATGATTTGTCTCTTACATAGGAGGTCTCACTCAATTACTAAAAATGCACAGCAGCAAACTATTCTGGAATTTTTCATTATATATCATGACTTAGATACTCTGGGGTATATTCATAAAAAAATAAATAAAGCATGTTTCAACTCTTGCATTTTTATTGCATATCACATGAATATCACATGAATCACATCAATAAGTTGGTATCTGGACACACAGTAGCACTATTAGCTTGAAATACACTTGGATGCTAGAATGTGAGAAATTCCTTGTCTTTGAAAGGAGACATTAACAAAGCCACAGAGGCAAAAAGACAGAGCAGAGCAGGTGATGGGGGAGTACTAAGAAAATTCCAGCTACCGTGGAGCTCCTGAAAACAAGACACCTACACTAGGAGTAAGTGGTACTCCACACTCACCCAGAGTCAGCTATCCTAACTCTTCACTAGCAAGAAGTGAATCGTATCTTCCAAATCTAAGCTACTTCTAACAGTCACTTTAAAGTACGTCTGATGACYTTCAAATCATTTTGAAGAGCATCTCCTGTAGCCTAGAGCAGCTGGGCACAGGACAGGCATCCTGCAGAACATGCCAGCATATCATACACCTCGCAAAAATGCTCATCATCCTCACAGCTTCTTCACATCACTCCCTTGCAGGGAAGTTACTACTATGCATGCAACAAAAGCGCACACATCTCTGCTGCACCCCTGTGATGCCAAACACTAAGGCTAACAACTTTCCAAAACTTGTATGTTTAAAAACATAAAGGAATGACAAATTAAAATAAMTATTGCTCACCTGTCTGAGCAGCTACATCATCTGCTGCTTTTCTGGCCACCTGTGCTGAGGCTCTGTTTAACTGATAGGCCTAGAACAATTACAGAAAATTACCAAGAAACTGTTAGCTCTGTGCAAAATATCTCTTCCTCAAAGAAATGCAGCATTTCTACTAAGCAGCCTGCGGTGCACTCTGAATGCTCCCTAAGCCAGAGAAACACACATGCAGTTTTATATGAGCTCAGTGGGGAGAGCTTTACGCATCTGAGCAAGAACATGACATGACAGGCCCCATCCCACACATCTCACTCTACAGTTGCTAATAGTAAAATAATTCTGTAAGGTACTAATTAAATTTGACCRAAGTCAATGGAAGCTCAAGAGGACATTAAGTGAAAAACCTATCTATTTTTAAAATGGCTTTTATTTCAGGTGACACATTTCCATTTCTTTTCTTGCATAATTATCTGCACTTTCAAACCAACATAAGCCCCAGAACAGGCATGATAGACACAAAGTTACGGAGTCCCACACAGCAGAGAGCTCTGCCCGCCTGCAACAGCTCTCTGTGCCACAGAGCTGAGCAAAAGGACAACAGGGAACACAGAGTTTCCACTGTGGCACTTGGCAAACTGGAAGCACTGAAGCAAACTGTTTCACAGGACTAGGACATTCTGCAAACACTCAAACAAAATCTAGGGCAAATCACTACTGCCTGTTCCTCTACCACGAAGTGGCATGCTAAGGTTGTTACACAGAAAGAGCGTAATTGCTAATAATGGAAACAAGCAGCAAAGACACTGTGATGGTCTCTGGCTGTCAGCACAGAGCCAGGACACACAGCTCTAGAGACAGCTCAGTCAATCAATGCAATGCCAAGGGACCCAGGGACTAGGCTAGTTTTGGCTATCGAGACAAAAGTCTTAACATCATAATGTCCAAATAGTTCAGAATTCTTACCAAATGCTCAAGGCCATAGTCAGCTTGTGCAACTCGGGTGCTGCTGAAAGTGTTGGTTTCGATGATGTCAGCACCCGACAGCAGGTATTCCTGTAAGAAATGAATGAAAAAAAAAAAAAAAGAGATATCCATCTCCAGCACTTTCAGAATTTGGTTCTGGAAAGAAAGTCCCCCAATTATTTGGTTGTATTCGGCTGAAAGAAGTCACAAGCCATCTCCTAATTCAACGCAGATCAGATCCCAAGCCTTACTCTGAAGCCAAAAGCACAGTGCCAAGGCAAGACAAGTGTGCACATAATGATTTTTCAGTGTTTAGTACCAGTCACACTTCCTACTACCAGGTGACATTTACAGGGTCCTCTCCACTGCTAAGTTCAGAGCCTGGAGCGCATTCTACATTTTCAAAGAGGAGCACAGTACAGAGCACCCACACAGCCCTCAGCAAGCAGGGTCTGCCCCGGGCAATCCCCGAAAAGGCAGCATTTATATAACAAGTGAGGGRAAGGAAACTTAAAACGTGCACAGCAGAAGAGCATCCAGGGACAGAAAATAAGCTTAAGAGAATTATTGTTTGTGCCRCTCACATTTAAACTTTAACTAATGGCCCAGGTTCACAAAAATAATTAAGAGTTCCACTTCAGTTATTTGTCTAATTCCCAGGGAAATAAACTGAAACATCCATGTAAACTGAAATACAACTCTGTATTTCAATTCTGTAGATTCTTAGTTTGCATTTTGATGACCTTTATCAACAGTCTTCCTCTTTCCCTAGCTATTCTTGCTGATCAGATTAACTCTTAAGTAACAGGAACATCATCCATTCACATATTTTGGAAACATTAAATCATTTCAGGTACCACTGAAAATGAAAAAAAAAAAAGGACAAAAAAAAACCCCACCTATTTTTCATCCAAAGAAAAAAGTACATAGAACTGCATTCTGGAATGCAACAATCCACAGCATTCAACTTACTACACATCTCTCTTCTGCCAGACTTGGATACACCACAGCGGAAGATGAGTTTTACTACAGTTTCCTGTGGTTGATCAAAATGTAAATGGAGTAACGGTATATAAACATGTAAAAATAGTAATTGATAGTGACTCCAGAAAATTTTATAACAATTATTAAGAGGAAATCTTCAGGCTGACATATAAGTTTTGAGAATTAAAGAACAAAATTGACTAAGCTAGTCCAGGGAGAACCAACTATTGCTCCCAGTTGGACAGAAATAGCTAAGAAAGCACCGTAATGCCCTTCCAATGCTTTGACAGCATCACCGCCCTTTATCTATTAAGCCCAATGGGAAGTGATTGGAAAAATATCTGTATCAGTCCAAGTCAATAAGTTACTCTTGCATTTCTTCCTCTACACATTAAAGGAACTAGAGGCATTGCAACTATTAGCAAGTCAAAGTACTGATGCAAATATCAAAAAGGCACCACCGGGATTTTCCCATACGAAACACAGGAGCTCAAGAGATATTAGGACAAACAAAGCCTTGATCTGAATGACAACAGAACAGAATTAAATTTGCTTTAAAATCAGTTTTGTTATAATATGATATTCTTTCTCTCAATTCCTTCTCCTGAACACATATGGAAATACATGGATGCACCTATATGAAAAAATACAGATTCCTATATATATGCAAATAATTAAGTAATGGAGTTTCAGGCCATCATTTAGACTGACAAGTTTCACAACTTTCACGAGAAAGATTTGTTAAACGTGTAGAGTCTTTTATATAGTTCAAAACTTGATTCGGGCAAACACTTTTTCAACTTTATTGTGTGCCACTGTAATAGGAAATAAGTAGGTTAAATTAGGCTTTAAATGGGAAAATCAGTTTTGTCATTGAAAACTTAGCACTTGGGTCTCTGACGGGATTATTGTTTCTTGATAGAAATATTCTAATCACTTTATTTGAGTTCTGTCCATTCCTCAGCTATAAAATATGAAGCTACCACTGATGGCTCAGAAAGCACCTGACCCACAAGTTGCTGCAGCCGTGGGGATCACCACAGATTTGGTCTTTCCTTACACTCTTCCCAAAGCCCCTACAGCTGGCCACAGCCAGGGACAGAACAGCAGGCTACCAGGGTCTGATTCAAAACACTCACTCCCAAATAACAGTCCACCTCGCTAATCTGTAATAAATTCAACTTTTAAACCAGTTTACCTAATTAACAGCACAAACTCACTTAGCAGCCTACTGAACTTCTAAAGGCCACAACCACAGCAGCTTAGTTGACAGGCTAGGGACTAAGCCCAATCTACAAATGTTGCCACCTCAAATTTCTATATGGCAATCATATTTCTACATGTCAATTTCTGTAGGCTGCATTGATTCCATTCAATTCTTAGCATTCTTAAAATGTAAAGACCAAAAGGTAGAGTGTGAATCTAAAAATACAGAATACATACTAAACTTCACAATTTTAAGTTAATTATGAGTCTAAACAATGAAATATTGACCTTTCTAGTAAGTGACTGAAGAAAACAGATGTGAAGCTCCAGCTGTATTAGAATTTTCTAACTACTACAGTGAGACCCTTAAAGTTCAGCAGAAGTAAAAGACCAGTTAAAAAGTCTTAATAATGATACAGAAAAAAAAATCTTATTGCAGTTTCCTAAAAGTCAACCCATTTATTCTATGTCCTAAAATTCAGTGTTCTAGGAGACAGCACATGGAAACAGGTACACTCAAGCTCTACAGAGCAGCCTGTTTCAGGCAGTCACATTTAACAGCTTTTTAGTACATGGATATAGAAACACACACCTAGAATTCAGATTTGTCCTACTTAGATACACTTTAAATGTTAGCTGAGGAGGAAGAAAGGAAAGAAAAAAAAATGAAAGAAAACAAAATCTACAATTAACAGAAGTGCATTAGAAACCTAAGTCAAAAAAACATTTTAAAACACTGGCTGCATGACATTAGAAACCAAGACACAAACGCTGTTCTGATGCAACCAGAACAGTCAAACTGCTCATTTACTTCCCCCCACATACACCCGTGGTTATCTAGCACTCTCCTCCACATCCTTAGCAGGATCCAGAGAACCAGGAACCCCAGAAGGGAAGAGAAACACAGAGGTTGAATTCTCTTTCTACTCCTCGTCAAGGGAGGCAAATGAGAACACACTACCTTGTGAATGTCGCAGATGATATCGGGCTGAGTTATGCTCAGAACGTCATTGTTGCCTTTCAAAGGCTTGGAATGATCTTTAAATTCATGCCCTCGGAAATGCTCTTCTGAGAGGGCGTGCTGCTGGATCATGGTACCCATGCCTCCATCCAAAATCATTATCCGCTCCTGCAGAACCGATTCAATTTCTTCTCTCATGCTCTTCTGGGTATTTGCTGAAAGAAAATAAACCCAGAAGTTAAGCAGCTTCAAAATTTCATATGTATACACTGCTGCACTAAGTTCTTCCAGTTTAAGAAACAGAAGAAAATAACTAAGCCTCCACTGAAATCAAACTGTAATTGGTTTAGTTCACCTAGAGCAGAAATCACTTCATGTCAGGGACAGCTGCATCTTTCCGAGCAGAATTAGAATTAATTGCTTCAGTACAACAGTCACCTAAATACAGTCAGCTGCAAAAAWACAGAACACTGAAAGTTCACAAGGGCAGATGCTAAAGTCTTTGTACAAGCTAGTCTTTAACACTGAAAGTATGTCAATTTCTGTTATCTCCATTAAAAAAAAGAAAATAATCAAAATGCTAAACTGACTCTTTGTACCATAGAACAATCATAAGGAGCACACAATTGCACACCAGAAAGTAGTAATTTCATTTTTTAAAAAAAATTTACTTTAATTGCCTATGCAGTACGGGTGCAGGGAGAGATAAACTGAGCAAGCAGAGACAAATCTTCAAGTGCAACCACTTCTGAATCCCAAATTCATAGACAGCCACAGGACCTTGTTATCCTTCCAGGATTAGGACAGCAAATAAAGATTCTGCATTTCTACTAGTTAGCTGATAATAAGACACACTAAAAGATAATGCCCAGGCTTTATAAAGTTCTTTGCAGAAACAGAGAAGGTTCTTTTGCTCTCCAGCAATACCAGAAGAAAATGTAGCAAACCATAYGCTAATAATAAGGTACTGGATAGTTGGATAGGGTAAGTCTAATACTGACCAAAATAGCAAGCAACAAATATTTCAGAGCTGTATTAGGAATGAAGATACAGTATTTCAATGCTTTGCAATCTAAAACAAAGTCTAACCCATACATAAAACAAAACTCAAAACACTAATTTTGAGACCATTAATAACAAAATACACTCCCCACACAACTGTGGCATCTCTTCCCTCTCTTAAACTTTGTCTTCCTTTTCCTCCCTGAAGTTATTTAGAATCATTTCAGAAAGAAGACACACTCGCAAGGACTGCCCACAGAGGATTCAAACAGCCCCTCTTTTCCAAGGGCTGAGAGCAGGAGCGTGTGGATTTCCCCTTATCTGACCTGGTTGATGAGTGACCTGCTGTTGTTCTTTATATTCCCCTTTCACTCAGCTTGTGCTTAATCATTCTAAGCAAACGTTTTGCTTTTTGGTTATGCACTATCACCTATAAAAAAGAAAGATTTCTGAAGTGCAAAAACATGTCCTTGCCTCATACAGACTTACAGACTTAGTACTTAATACTCACTAGCATCTGTTAACCGATTTATTCAACTTTTTTTTCCTTCATTCTTTAAATATGACTTCTCTTTTAACATCAATATTACTAAAAAGACATAAACTGAAGAAAAGAGAAAAGTACAGTATTACAAGGTTACAATTACAGCAAAACTCTGGAATTATAGGTCTAAATCAGACATGCTCTTAACAAGAAAAGAAGCCAAATGAAATTTGCTTTATAACAAGCACAACACATTTGAAGATAGCAGAATATTAAAAAAAAAAAAAAAAAAAGCACCCTTTCTTCAGGTTAAAAGTTTTCCTAGTATTACTATAAAACAGGGAGATTCAGGGAGATTCAGCTGGTTCTTGAGCTTAAACTATTCACATTAAGTCAACAAAGTATTCATGAAAATAAAATCCATTTCACATCCAAAAGGTATCAGACACAGGACCCTGAAACACTGTATCCAAAAGTAGGCCTGCAGTGCAGATTAACGTGGGCAATAATTCAAACCTGCTTTGAAAGGGCTACAACCCAATAAGACACACGGSTGAGAGCTTTAAGGCAGGCTCTAAGGCAGCTCCTTGGCACTGAGAGTCACTGAAGCCTATGACTTGTTTCACACTTCTCCTACATACYGAGAACATTTATATTCATCAGTGTTTAGGTTTTTCTGTTGGGTTTTATTTAAATCCTGCATCTTCTGTAGTCTGCTTTGTTCTCACTACAGCTTGCCCAGTTGAACCAATGCCACTTCAGTGTATTGTTTTCTGCTTACAGGAGCACAACAAACTCCTACTTAAGTTCCTATTTTACCTACCCTTCCTATGGATAAGAGTTGCCTGCTCTTCACTTATGAAGCTGACACTACCTTCAAGACGGGCTCTGGCACTCGGCCTGTACAACTTTCAGTTTGGAAGCAGAAAGTCTGCAGGCCTGAAAAGGCACAGGAAATCAGAGCAGATCAAGCCTTAAGCCCAAGCTGGAAAGTGCTGATCTCTGTCCTGCGAGGAGAACAGGGACATGGAGAGCCAGTTCTGCTAAGCAAGTGCCATCATTTTAACTCATCATCCAACTGGCAGAACTCTCCTCTCCAACACTGACAGGGCACAAGAGTCTGTGACAGAATAAACACAACAGGTATCTGGAGAAACCTAAGCAGAGAAAATCTTCAACAGGCACCTTTTTCAGGTTTCAGGTTTACAAGCCCCTCCAAACTTGATTTGCTCAGCCATAAGCTGAAGGAAAARATCCCTTTCTTCTTCTGAATGGAAACTTTTTCCATTCAAGAGTCACCAGAAGAAAAGCTGCCTCTATAAAGCTTCGCAGCAAATAGGAAATAGCAGCAAACTAGCAGCGACAGCTGGAGCCAGCACCACTTACCCCAATTCTCCTGAAATGCAAGATAAAATACATTGTCTTAGTGTCCCCAGGCCAGAACTAGTTTAGCAGATCATGTAAAGACAGACCAAAAGCAAATGCAGTAAAAGCTAACAGCATTACACAGGGAGAAAACAATACACATATAAATATATGCGTATTAGGGGATWTATGTATATATCCCCTAATATATATATATGTGTGTATACTTTTATATAGATATATACACACACCCTCCTAAGAAGATGCTAYTTCACTTCCTCGAGATAATCACTGAGGCTCTAGATCATACAATCAAATGATTTACCAGTCTTGAATGGAAAACTGCAATGAGCTAAAGGAACTCTCACCCCTTTTTGGGTATTCTGTTTCCAAGTATTCTGTCAGGGTATCACAAGCACAGGACAGCTGTTTGGAACAGCTGTTCACACCTATAATCATTCTAGCACTAAAGATTATAAACTATGCCCAAATGCAACATGCCAATGTTCACAACATGGCAACTAAAGCTTGAAAGTTGCTTTAAAGCACATTTTTTCTAATGTTTGCAACGATTCTCTAAGGTGKTTTTTTTTTTTTWAATTATTTATGAACCTCTGTAAATAATGCATTCCTGGTACAAAACAATCATGCATACAAATTCCTTCCAAAGCTTTAACAGAATTAGGCAAGCTGTGACAACATTCCAGCACTTTCATCGCATTATTATGAGAGGTACAGGTGAGGAATAACAGAGGCTACAGGCACTTTRAAGTATTTGTTATTTCTTAGGCTACTCAGGTCCCATGCTAAGCARGAGCAACTGCCCCTTTCAGATTGCACATCCAGGCCTGCAAGCCAACATTGCCCTGCATCTCCTCAAACCACCAGTCACTCTTCTACTSAAAAGGAACAGTGTGCAGCACACAGAAACACACAAGAGCAGCTAGAGGAGATGCTCCTGCTATCAGCCTGCCAAAGATAACTCTTGAAAGGCCTATAATTACCTGAGGTGTAATTAATTAAATTTTCCTCAGCTGGGTGCCCTCTGGCACCGTTAAGAGCTTCACGAACTACAGCAACAGATGGTACATGRATCCCTAGAACAGCGGGCACCAGCACCCTATGGCTGAGTTACTTCTTTCCCTGCTTATCCAGGAAGATAAGCAGTGTGTCTTATCAGTACCTGCTATGTGCACCTTGCTGGCGCTTTCTGGCTTGTCACTTGTCTTCAGAAGCAATCAAGTGTTGCATAAGAGATAAAGAGCCTCTTGTGTAGCGGATGCATTTATGGAGGTAGCTTAAAGGGACAAATGACTAGCACAAAAAGTCAGTGAAGTCGCAGAACAGCACAGAAGATCTGCTAGTTGTGTCCACCGTTTCCAGCCCATGTATTGCAGCTAATGCACCAGTGTTGTCACCACAACTGCCCCTCTCTAAACCCCCAACTCTTCACAATAGACCAGCAGCCACTGAAGACAGGCAGGAACCACAGGAAAGCACAAACCGGCTCCAGAGCAGCATGGACTGGTTTCCTGAAGCCCTTTTAGCTGCTGTAAGGCTAGGGARAAGCACGTTGATCCATTCCCCAGTGCTCTGCTCTCATGTGCACATTTTGCACCACAGCCGGGTGCACAAAGCAGTGTCTGCTGGCCCCTTGGTGCAGGAGGATGCCACAAACACCCCCAAGCATCTCCCAATGCTGCAGTCTCTGCTCCCAGCAGAACACTCAACTGAATCTCCAGTGCTTCTCAGAAGCATCGGAAATACCCTCTGATGCTTCCCACAGCAGCCAAACGCACTCGGCTCTGCAACAGCGGACTAGTCACTAGCAAAGGACCAACCCTACGTGTTGCGGGAATGGGGACGGGCAGATCACAGCCACCTCTGCCACAGAAGATCCTCACACTGCAAAAGTAGCCTGGGGAGCCTGCAAGGCGCTAAGACCAGGCAAGCTCCGCCATGCGTGTTGTGTCTATACAGAGGGTGGCAGGGCTCCCGGGGGCAGCGACGCTGCCCTGGTGCCAGGGCGGCTGCGTGGGGGCAGCCGGCACCGAGGGCAGGTGTCCCCCACGCGGGCACGAGGGCCCCCGCCACGCAGGCCGCCCACGCGAAACACGGCGGCGCCAACCGGCAGTACCTCGCCTTCCCCCTCCTGCCCTTCACATCTCTTTAAAACCTAAAACTTGTTTTTTGCGCTTACAGCCAGTGAAGAGGGGAAGGAGAAGCGGGCAGGCACTGCCCACTCGCAGCAGCAGCACCGCAAAGCCCTCTGCTGTTTGTTTGTTCAAGCTAGCCCTGCCCCACAGCCCCGCGTGGCTCTCCAGGCGCTTTCCAGACTCGGTCCAGCTCAAGCCCTTCTCGCGTGGGGCACTGACCACGCACGGGGCTGCCAGCGCCTCTGCAACAGCCTCCTGCCCAACCGAGGCGACACCATCAGCGCCGGCTCTTGCGGTCCCTACGGTGCTGCTGGCCGCGTGCGTTCACACGCACGGGGGCCGCTCGGCAGGACAATGCACCACGCAACGGCACCCCACGCGCGAACTGCGCTAGCGGGGCACTTCACTACGCGGGAGCCGCGCGTGGGCGGACAGCGAGCCGCGGCCGCAAGCGGCGGCGGTTCCTCCCTCGCCCCTCCCCCCGTCCCACGCGTGACAGCGTCGCGCGCGCAGCCCCCTCCCGCACCGCCCCCCCACGGCCGCGGCGCGCGCGTTACCCGGCGCGTGCCGCGTGGGCGCCATGCTGCAGTGACGTCACCGCCGCGGCGCGGGCGGCAGGGCGGGCACGAGCCGCGGGGCCGCCGCGTCAGCGGGGGCGGGGCGCGCGGTAACGGCCGCGCGGTAACGGCCGCGCAGCCCGCGGGAGCCGTTAGGGGCCCTGAGGGGGCCGTTGGCTCAGGCTGTGTGGAGGGRGAGGTTGCAGAAAGTAGGGCTTGGAAGCAACTAAAACACACTGTAATTAAAGGCTTCTTAATGCCAAGAGAAAGATAAATGTGGCTTAAACTGGAAGTTAGAGACTTGATTGTAATGCGCTATTGATATTTGAGGCTGGAAATATTTATACTAAATCAGTAAACTAAGGCACGGTTTGACTGTTGAACAAGATGAATAAATATGTCCTTGTTTGACCTAAGAGGTTGACTTCTTTTCCACAATGATGTGTTCTATGGTTATCCAAGGACCTACATTTTACATTAAGTAAACACGTCTGCTACAGCTGCAGATGAGCCTTTCAAAATTGCATTGAGTGTAGCTAATGCTGGAGTTTGCCAAGAATAGCTCAAGGGAGTCATCACCAGACTCAGTTTAAGTACTACTAGTTCAAATGTCAGTAATAACCATTTCTGGTATTGCCATTTAAAGTGTTTCGGTGTTCAAAACATAGAAAATGAGGTAGGTGGGTATGGACCGATCTTTTCTGTTTTCCTTGATGGGTTCGGTAATTAAAGTAAGCAAACTGAAGATGCGGGAGTCTCTGATTTGTTTTTTTTTTTCCCCTCAAGAAACAAGTTTGGTTTCCATCCTTTGGGTGTGTCCATCCTTAGGTGGAGTGGCCAACACTCCAGAGGGCTGGACAGGCTGGAGAGTTGGGCAGAGGGGAACCTCATGAGAGTCAACAAGGACAAGTGCAGGGTCCTGCACCTGGGGAGGAGTAACCCCAGGCACCAGTACAGATTGGGGGTCGACCTGCTAGAAAGCAGCTCCGCGGAGAGGGACCTGGAAGTCCTGGTTGACACTAAGTTAACCATGAGTCAGCAGTGTGCCCTCGTGGCCAAGAAGGCCAATGGGATCCTGACTGTGTCAGGAGGAGTGTTGCCAGCAGGTGGAGGGAGGGGATCCTGCCCCTCTGCTCAGCTCTGGTGAGGCCGCATGTGGAATATTGGGTGCAGTTCTGGGCTCCCCAGTATAAGAGGGATATGGAGCTTCTAGAGAGGGTCCAACGTAGAGCAACAAAGATGATTAAGGGACTGGAGCATCTCTCATACGAGGAGAGACTGAGTGAGCTTGGCCTGGTTAGCCTGGAGAAGGGAAGGTTGAAAGGGGATCTGATCAATATGTATAAATACCTGAGGGGAGAATGTAGGTAGGAAGRGGCCATACTCTTCCCTATGGTGATCAGTGACAGGACGAGGGGCAATGGGTACAAGTTGAAACCCAGGAAGCTCCATCTCCATGTGAGGAAGAATTTCTTCACTGTAAGGGWGACATAGCCCTGGAACAGGCTGCCCAGGRAAGTTGTGGAGTCTCCTTCACTGGAGGTCTTCCAAACCTGCCTGGACGCCACCCTGTGCCACGTGCTCTGGGTGTCCCTGCTTGAGCAGCTGTGAAGTGCTTTATCAGCTAACAATGTGTGGTGCTACATATATGATGCTTACAATGGCTTCTGTGCTTTCACTGGAGTATTTTTAGGGAGCAAAAATTAGAAGAGGTAAACGCTATTAGTGCAGGTAATTGCTATGGATAAAAGTTTTACTTAAGATACAAGAACAGTTGGTTGCAGACCCTCTGAGTCCAAGGTGATCTGGAAAGTTCCATAATCAACTGTCACTTCAGTCAATGGTGACACAAGYGTGTATAGAAATGTAGCTTCACGTTTCATAGATTTCTGTAGAAATATTGCCAGACTACTCAGTTTGGGTAGTAAGTCAACTACAGAGAACCAGAGAAGTCCAACTTCAGCTGTCTAGGTCATGCTGCAATGTTTAATGAAATGAGACACTGCTGAAGGGCAGCCGTTGGCCTCTGGGCAAGCTGTTCTAGTGGTCATCCCAAATACTTTTGCTGCAAAAAAACTGGGTCAGAGTTGCAGTATAGCAGGTCAAGGTCATGAATCCTCAACTTTCAAAGCCTAACATTAGAGGAGAAATACACTAAATATTCACAAAAGTCACTGGCTCCTGGAGACTGGTTAATTTTCTTGTTACTACTCCTACATAGCAAATGCAGCTGGGTAGAAGAGGGCAGTGTGTTAAGAACATTCCTGTCTTCAACTTGCAACCTTTTGTCACACTGTGTAACACCATGAAAATTCCACCCGCCACAGTGCTGGTTAACATCTCACTGTGCGCACAGTGGTTCCGTGGAGCCGGGTCTTGGTGCCGGAGAGCAGCGGTGCCCTTGCGCTGCTGCAGCTTGTGTGTAACTGCGCTGCAAACCAGGGCAGTGGTGGGGAAAGAAAAAGTTGAAAATGTGAAAGTGCYTTTAAAAAGGATCGTGTCACATAACTTAGTTTACTCTGCAGCTTCCCAGCAGTTTGGCCAAATTTGAGTGTGACAAGGCAGTCCCAAATGCCGCTGGCCCATCCTCGGACCTCGTTCCTCCCCTTGTGTGAGTGCTCATCCCCAGCCGAGTTCTTTCTTAGAGGCCAGTTCCAACCTCAGTCATTCTGTGATTTTGTTTTCAGTGAGAACAGCCCTTGGATCCAACTCGTGCAGCAGTTGTCTAGAGCTGATGCAAGCGAAGCAGCAGTGGGAGAGCAGCAACAGCAGCCCAGGCTCACACAGGTTTAACCTCCTCGTGAAACCTGAGCTACGCAGGCAACGGAATGAGCACAACAGAGGCAAAATACTCTCCAGAGGGTGAAAGGAAAAGGCATGCGAGGTTAAGGATAATGATCCTTAGCAACAAAACAGTTACAAAAGAAAATCAGCCTTAATATTATTTGAGAGGATTTGGGAGCCCTTTCCCAGATGTAATTTCAGAAATTAATGAGCAGTGCTAGAAATCCCTGTGCATAGGCTGCTGCACACTTGCAGGTACGAAGGTTCCTGCAACTGCTTCTTTGAAAAGTTAGTTCTAATATTTATAGGGACACTTCAAAAATACCCTTGTCCTAGAAAAGTGCCTTTCCTTCGTCTCATGAAGTGTTGTTCATATTCTGCTAGATTAGGCTGTTMGGATATTATTCTCCTTTTTTAATATTTAGAGTAAGGCCAGAAAAAAATTAGAGTTGCTAGAGCAATGGAGTAAAGCAGAACACAAAAGTGCCATCATTCCCATGTCCAAGAAACTCGGCATCCTGTTCTATCTTGCCTCTGCATGGCCAAATGAAACCTTGATATTAAATGTTTGATGCACAGAAGTTCCTGAGTTCTCAAATTCCTGTCTAAGTCAGTTCTCTATTCTCTGCTGAAGCTCATAGATGGCCTGATTTATACAGATGAACTTTAAGCACATAAATAAAAAATGCACTGCACAGCCTTTAAAAATAAAATTAGTGTGCTAGTAAGGTGAGACAGGATGGGGAGAGCAATCCCAATCTGTAGAACGGAGTAATGCTTTGTAGGTGTTTCAGGTGGGGAAAACATTGTCATGTGCATTGTGGTCACATAAAAGAGCAACTTAATGATCACAATAGCGTCATACAAGAAATATAGAGTAGGATGAGAGGTTTATGTGTTTTGACAGTGAATAAGATCAGTAATTCAGTAGAGAAAAAACGCTGAGACAATAAACAGATGAAAGTCCCAGAATAGCACCTTATGTAACCCTGACCTTTGCGCTGTCTTCTGAGATCATGCTGATCCCCGAGACATCAGTTGTTGTTTTTTTCCACCTGGGCAAATATATGAACCATCTCCTTCACACTGCTAGTATTAACAAGCCAAAGTTACTCTGTTAGACATCCCAGTATCTGTCAGCAGGAATAGAAACATCTTTATCTGTATCAACGGTTGCTCATCCAAAACAGCCAGACTTCCAGTTTGATCACAAAGCTGTATTCCTTTATGATTTTCAGAAATAGTTTTCTATGGCATTTTTAGACCAAGGATTAACAGAAAAAAAAAATGTTTAGTACTATAAGGAATTAGCCCTRTCGAGACACCTGTTGCACCTGTAGTATCACTGACATAAACTTAGCGGCAGGCTAAGTATGCTGGTTTCTGCAGGGGGCTGTAAACCGTTCTTCAGGGAACCTAACATCTTCCTAGTTGCAACAGGATTAAGCTATAAATCCCAGCTAATATCATTAGCAAAAAAAAAAAAAAAAAAAAAAAAAAAAANAAAAAATCAAGCAAATGTGTTTGGAGCTGTTTTCCAAGTCCCTCTCTCCCCACCAGGCTCCCACAACCAGCCTAACTCTGTCATGGATCTTCTAACTTTTCCTAACCCTCCAGTGCCAAAGATCTGATTAACCAGTTTGTTGTTCTACTGGAACCTCCATGTATTTAAATGACATAGTTTGTATAAGAGTAGAAATGAAGGCCTGAAGAGTAGAAATGAAGAGAACATGCCAGTTTTTGCATGTTCTCTTGGCTTTTGGGCATGGGTATTGAGTGTTACTCATGGTAACACTCAATGGGCATGGGTATGAGTGTTACTGAGGATACTTCAGTAACACCCATAACAAAAACTTGCCTTTCATCCCCATGTTATGCATCTTCATTCCTGTGGATGTAGCTCCCAATGGGCTACTCACATAAATAATCCTTATTTAAACAAGAACAGGGGGATTATTTCGGTTAATAAAGAGCTGTAATGTTTCACAGGATTATACCCTAGTGAAGCGTTCAAAGCAAAGTGCTGAATTCAGAAAGAAAAACACAGAGATTATTCTGATTTCAGAATGTGGCTCCTGGCTCTCTGTTCTGCAAGGCTGCTTACGACTTGTGCTATTTTGCTGTAGTTGGATCCTTGCCCTATTTTCGATGACTAAGTTACACTAGTTGTTTCTTTTCAGAATTCACTCTGGCTCAGGAATTAGAATTTCCATTTAATAAGTAATTTTATAGCCCCCACAG